CGAGAATTAAGATGTTTTATCTCTGTATCCTGTATTTTACTTTGTAGTCGTAATTGTACGTTTACTTTAGAATCCAGTGACGATTAATAATTTGAGGTCTTGTTCCACAAACATAATACTATATAATCTTTCTCAAATTGTTTCAGAAATACCGTATGTTTTTTTTAATTTTATCAATGAAGTAGGTATTTAAGTATAGCTAACGTACGCGCGTATTGGCAACAATGTTGGGAGTGTAATGTTTGACATGCCACTCGATCAATAATACTATTTAGATAACTCTTCGTGAACTTAAGAAGAACTCGAGCATACCCTTGTTCACATTCTGTATACCATTGAAAAAATAGCGATGTAAAATTTTAATAATTTTAATGTGACCTATATGTTAATGAAAAACTGATAAAACTCATATTGGTTTGTGTCGAAATAAAAATAAGAACCCACTTTGCAATTGTAGCGAAGTTTACTGGGCTACTTTTAACACCCTAACTGGACATCTAGAAGTATTGACGATCGAAGGCACATCATATATTATCTCTCAACGAGCCGCTCGCGCAGCACGTAGGCGTGCATTATGTATCATTACAGTGTTTACGTCCAAATTGAACGTAATTTATCTGCGATAGCGTCTGCTTATTGATTCTGATTCGCCACCAGTAGTTACTAGTCTTGCCATGACTACATCTGCTATTAACAATGCCCACTTGTACTCGTAGTCAAATAAACATGTTAAAATAGGTGTCTGACCGGCTCTCTAGTTGGAAATATGCATTTACTTACCAGTGTTCTAATTTCTAGAGATACGTGTATGAAAATTTGAAAATATAAAATTTCCTTTATAATTTATGTTGTCCATTTTTATTTTTAGAAATATATAGAAAATAATAATTAATACAACAATTAACATTCAAGAAAATTAATTATTATCTTAAAAGGAGTCTGGACGACCGTTTTAATTATGAAAGTGAATTATTAAAAATATTTAATGTAATAACTACCGGTTTAATTTACGTGTAATTAGATCGAGTCATGAGCAACTGCGACGCAAGCGCGAGCCTGACGTCACAGTCACTCATGACTAAGGATCACGAATTCATCGCAAAACTAGTCGAGCTTTCTCGATATAATTACACGTGAGTTAAACCGGTAGTTATAATGTTAAAATGTAATGTGAATTGGTTCAAAACTTTTTAACGGATTTTATGTATATATTAATTTTATATTAAATTTCTATATGAACAGTCTATGTTATCTCATAAAAGACAAAAAATTGTCAGACTCATAAAATTTAATAAATTGCCAATACATAACACAAATCGTATTCAACGAATAAACTGTCCTTCTTAAAATTCTATAGTGTTACCACATGGAACAGGTTGTCCTGAATGTCTTGATCTGATTAATCATGCTATCAATACGGAATAACAAACGGAAAGTTTTAAATATATTTTTCAAGGGTTGTGTATGGCCAGTGAGAAAATAGTCTACAAATACAAAGAAAAGAACATTATAGTTTCAAATAAAAAGAAAAAAAAAACTATAAAAATATTATTAAAAAAAATACCATCCCTGTAAATATAAACATATAAAAGGAGAACTGAAAGAGCATATAAAAGTATTATTATGGATGCATAGTTCTATTAGTAAATTCTATTTATTTATTTAGGCACGTTTATTACTGAAAATATATTTGAAATTGTATGAGATTTTCAAAATAACTTTACTCTTGGCAACCTAATTATTAGCATAAATGTGAGTAAATTTTAGGTTTACTTATTATAATACTCTAATGCGAAGAGGACGCCGACAACAATAATGTTTCTCGGATGAAACATTATTGAAACCAATTATTTTTTTACATTCTTTTCGTCACGGTGAAGCTTATGAAGGCGCTTAAATATCGGAATAACGTCAATTTATAAAAAAAAAAAAAATTTGAATGATCACTATATTTTTAATCAATCAGAAATATTAAAAAGTGTCCATTTGTTTTTGTATATTTTATTAGATAACTCCATCGCCGCCACATTTCGGTAAAAGTCTATGTGTACGCTTTTAAAATAGTTCCGAACATGAATTTTAATTTCTAGATTTCTTTTTCACAAATTGTGTCTTTGACTGTACAACGACAGATCGCAGTAACTTATTTATTAAAGCCAACAATGTTACGAGAACGGATATGAATGCAAAGGGTCTTATTAAGCGAAATCCTTGTACAAATGATTGATGACAGGTGGTCAAGTGTGTCTGAAGCGAGTTCGCGAAAAACAACGTACCCTAAAGAACAAATTATGTGAGTCACATTCACATACCAGCTGTCTTCGAATTTAAAAGCACCTACATTAATAAGATGCGACAAATGACTGATTATCGTTGAATATTTATTTGTAGGTATTTACTTGTTTTGGGATGTTAGGGTCTACAGGTAGCATTGTTGTGGCGACATCTCAATAAATAATAAATCTTATTTTAAAATTCTTGTAGTTGTTTCTTATTTGTTTTTCCATTACTTTTTTTTTTTTAATATTATACACAAACATGTATTTCTTCGTTTTTTCTTATTTTCTTAGTATAGCAGTTTTAATAAATTAGTTTGTTGATAAAAAAAGACACAGTGGAAGGAAGTTTTTATTTTATACTTATAAAAGTCATTGTAAAGCATTTATTAATTAATATAATCGATTAATTATGCTGAACCTGGAAATTCTATTATTAGTTCATACACTTAATTATACTTGACTGTAGGATTGTATATGACAATAAAGTCAATATCTATAATGATTTATTAAATTAAATTTATTGATAGAAAAATTTAGAGTAACACAATGAGTATTACTCATTTTTGCTATGTTCATTTAACTGACAACCCTAAACAAGGCAAGTACCGACGTCACCGTCTGGACGTGGTTAATGGCAAGCCATCATTCGGTCGAGTCTAATGCGTCTCGCGAAGGAAAAAAAAGTGTGCAAATTGTTTTAAATGGTCAGGTAGGCCCGCGCCCGCCTGACCTACAGACAGACAGCATGCAAAAAATAAACAAACACATTTTAGGGTTATGCCTCAAGAATTGTTTAAAAAGAAATTGGTACACCTGTTCGCAATTTTCCTTTGTGAAAGCATTTCAGTTTATTATAAATAGAATCTAATATTAAACATACTTGTATAAGAGCACTAGATTCTTGACACTAAAGGGCGACCCCCTTACACGGAGGTAATACACACTCGTTATACTAATAATAAAAAAAAAAAAAACTAAGCAAGACGCGTACTATCAGTGGATTTGAAAAAATCATGTCATGACTCCAATAAATACTAAAACTAAAAAAATAAAGCTTTATATCTATAAATTTCAAATTCGATAAGATACAGCCATAGATAACTTTTTGAAGAAAAAAAAGTTGCTAAAATTTCTCAGGTATCAAGAATTTAGTTTTCTTATTGGTTATCTAACAATGCATTTAATTACGGTTATTTATTGCTCAGGTATAAGGATAAAAAGTATTTAGTGAGTTATTCTAGAATCCAACTATGTACCAAACTTCTGGAGCCTTCTTAGGTTTAAAGATATTATAATTAACTTGTCATACGGTAAGTGGATGAGATGCCAGAGGTATTCGTGTACTATAAAAGCGACCTAGCGACTTGAGACCAGAGAGTGCCACCCTCCCCTGGCATTATCACATTATTAAGACAATAGTGGCACAATCAATCAATTAGGAAAAAAAATGAGCTATACAATCCACTATTATCGAGTATCTATATACAGGTAGCTTACTCGTAGAATCCGTAAATATTCCGAATTGAACATAGTAAACAGTATAAGGAAAAAGTATTTTTAAAACAACCAGACTTGTAACATGTAAAAGAATTGAGTCAGAACTATGTGTGGGCGCAATTTGTATTACGCGTCTGAATTGATTACTTTTTACAGTATAATTAGTATGTTCTACTCTAAGAATAAAAATATATTGGTGACGTAAAAGAGTAATATAGTAACATGTATATTAGAGCGAGATAGATAGGCAATTAATTTAACGAACACTTTAGGAGCTCGAAATGTATTTATTAGTGGGAGGTACGATCAAAAAATATTTTCACGTCTTGAAGTTTAATGTGAACGGAATTGATAATATTTACATGTGCAATACTGAATATGAAAAAACAACAGAAAGGAAATATATTTTGTTAGTCTATGGTCTATCTATAGTTCTACAATATACTCAATACTATGTCCTTTTTTAATCTCAAGTATTTATTGCCGTGTGGGTCCTATAGTAATTTGGTCAAGGTATAAGTATGTTTCTCTACCGTAAAATAGAGTTTCCGTTTGAAGAGTGGAATATGGCAATGAAATAAAGTGTACGAAGGAATATTAGTTCGCAGAATAAATTACGACCTAATTAAAGTATTTCCACTCTATGATACGGATTATGAACAAACATTAAAATACACACATAAAACATTAAAGCGAGTTTTGTTAAATATTAAGTTGAAGTGCACTAAAGCAATAACCTGAAATTGTAAAACAGTTTTAATTGTTTGAATATTTTTATGCAAGAAATAATTATATACATTATACTATTCATTTTTATCATTACATATAAATATGAAATGTCTGTCTGTCTAGTTCCATCATTTTTACGATTAAGTTGTGGGATGAATTTAATTTAATTAAATTTTAAAAAATTACAAATTGCACATTGTATCTAATCACTAATCCTTCACGTTAAAAACATAACATTTTGCAATATATACTTAGTTTAAAATAGTTGCAGTAACATGTGTATGAACGATTTGTATAATACATGTATAATAATAGTAGGTACCTGGTGAATACTTGCAAGGTCAAATTATACTCAGTCTGAACTAATTAGTCCATGTCATAACCAAAAACGGAGACATAATTCATTTTGTAGTTTTTCAACACTGTCAGATGATGAATGGCTTTATATGGATGGAGTCGTAAAAATAAAATGACAAGGTACAAACGCATACATACCGGCTCTGTGCCTCCTTGGTTGTCCTTGCCGAGGCCTTCGCCTTTCGACCAGCCCATTTTCTCCAGGAGTTTAAATCCTTTGTTTTCTGGTGCTATAAACCTGTTGAAATAAAATTACGTCATAAAGTGTACACCTCTCGCTGAATAGGGTTCGGCTCAATATTACGATCAAATTCTATTTGCTTTTGTTTCCTTGGCTTTATACGAGTTTTGGTACAATCAACTCTATAAATCAAGCTGAAATCCAGGAACAATATTCATAAGAGAACAACATGGGGAACCAAAGAGAATAAAGAAAATCTTAATAATAAAATAATTTTCAAACTTTTTGTACAAACTACGCAGTTAGATGATCTATTTAATAAGAAACGTTCTAAAATTATTTTTAGATTCTATGTACCGTGAACTTCGTTCTTTTAATGGAGGGAAATATGGAAATAAAAACGGAATGGTAATGTCGTCTGCGATAATGGTTTCTATTAGCGGGGTACCAGTGAGGAACGATAGCTGTAAAGTTGTTATAACCACTATGATTTCCAAGTCCCTTGTGGAGATCGATCTCAAAAGATATATTGCCAGTATAACAAATAGAATAATAGTGTTGCAATAACATGTTTATCTATAAAAAAATATATATAGATCACAGCGATTGTTAGAGATGGATAGATAAAATTAGAAAGTTGACTGTACCAATTGGAATAATTTATTTTCTTTGATTGTACCAGACACTGCGTAATTCAGTAGCTTAATATATTATTTTAATTAATAAAATAACAGAAATAATGGCCATCTTTTTCCGTTTTGAAGTGTAAAAATATTTTAATGGACGCTTAGATGTGCAAAAAGCAATTAAATGAGTTTAGATATCTTTTAGTGGCTTTAAAATATGTTTATTGTATTCGCATTCACAATTAAATTGCCCGTTCATTTTATTAATGGACTTAAAAAAAAGTGTTTCTCAATTTGGCTATATTTTTGTGTAAGTAAAGCGGTATCTTTACTAATTTCAAACCTTTCTGAATTAATATATTTTTTTATAATGAAAAACTATTTCCTTTTTGGGTGATAATTGTAAAATATAATTTTGTCAAAATTAAATTAAATTAAAAAAAAAACCTAAATCACTGTTGTTGAATAATAACAAGTTATCTACTGTAGACCAACTATTCATAAAAACTAAAACCTGTTTTAACTATTTCACTTTCATTCAAACTGAGAATTTGTACAAAAGAAATAGATGAAACAGTTCAATAGCTATAATAGTTCTATAAGATGTTTGACGTTTTCATGAATAAGAGTTTAAATGTAATCAAAATTAGAAACAAATCTCTCGCGACCTCGTTACTTATTCATTAGAGATTGGCAAGTGATAGTTTAGAGAAGAGATCGCGTGAAAATTCCAATAGACAAGGTATATTGAATTTAGTATTAGAAATAAGTGCTTAATTAATTTGAATGCACTCTATTTTTAACTCTGTCTATTAGTCTCCAATTTTTTTTTGTATATACAAGATAGAAAAACATTTTGTGTTTTTAGTACACACATGCTAAAAATAAATAAACATGTAAGTAAGCAAAAAGGACATAAATCAGTAACAAAACTGAAACCGTGTGTATGTGCTTCCATACCTAACATAAGTCATCATCTCAGGTTACTGCTACCCTCCATAACAAAATATTGATATTCTATTACTAGCTTTTGTCCATGACTTCGCACACGTATATTTTGGAAATGCATATACGCTGTTCGGTTGCGTAAAAAGGAAAACAAATGAAATAGACAATTTTTAGATGACGTATCAAGATAAATTTTATACTAGATTTCAAGTTTACTCTTTAGGAATACAGCTGTAAAAACAGCATGCAATTTGGTGAAGTATATTTGGAGTGATGCCGGAACAAACACATAGATAGATAAAAATTAAAAAATAATAACTTCATAAATTACTCCTATATACAGAAGTCATCCAGTTACAAATTAATTATATGCATATATATGACTAAAGGCTATATCAATATTTAAATATTATGAACTAGACAACCACACCGGTCTCGCACGTATTTTTGTTAATAACATAAAGCCTAGTTGATAATGTTATTTTCTATAGAGGAAATAATTTTAAAAATGAGTTAAGCAGTTTTTTAAGTTAATCCATTACAAACAAAAAAAATTAATTTTTTTCTCTTTATAATATTAGTTCAAATTAGATTTGATGAATAGAACGAAACTAACGTATCGACGTCGGCGCTGTGTGTTTTCTCAGAGTGGTGCGATGATCCGACTGCGTCGCGGCGCGCCTGTGCCCTGTCGTTGTATGCGGTCTCCTCTATAGCGAGCGGCTGTGGAGCATACTTGTTCTTCAGCCGCGCCAACTCCAGCTGGTGTTGCTTCTGTACGCTGCACGTACGCGTATACGCGACCGCTTTCTCTTTTTCGTGAGCTAAGAAAATAACAGACGTTAATAATTTAGAATAGATTTATTAGCCACGACTTGTCCCAGCTTCGCATGGGTAGAAAGATAGATAAAATAATTTCACTAAATCAGCAACAGAGGATCTTTCCCCACTGATAGTGTTCCTAATATTTTTTAAGTTGAAATATATCTATCACCACGTTATAGTCTGATAGAATATCTGGGGTAGAATCGAATATAGGATTAATTTTCGATTCTCTTTTATTATTTTATTTATGTAATATTTTCTGTAGAATATTATTCAAAAGCAATCAAAGAATATTCAGATCTTCACGAGGTAGATATAATAATATATGTGTTATAGCTCAACGTCTGTGGGGCAGTGATGGGCACGTTACTTTGCATAAAAAGGATCTCGAGTTTTACTGCCGCTTAGAATAACGTTGAAGTACTCCGAGTTGTGACCTCAAATGTTCGTTACCTGATAATTTTTTTTTAGAAGTTGAAGGCCAGGAGATTAATGTGATTACACTTAATTAATTAATAATTATCTTACATTCCATCAACAATCCCGGCTCGCAGTGACCACAAGTATCCATTCCTGGATGTATGTGACAGAGAAGTTTAGTCTCGCCCAGTTGTATGGTGCTACCATGCAATACCTGTAACAATGCCATAGCTAAAAATAACTAATACAACTTACTACCACATCAGAGAGTCAAATAGAGAATCTTTATTACATTTTTTTAAAAGATTGTTTATGTAAAGTGCATTTAATTTGCTAGACAGAGTAGTTTATATAAACTAGAAGGGTTTATCAAAGTTGGAATAGAACATATAACACCAATATTAGTAGAAGAGTCTTTAGGACTATTTAATATCAGACTGGCCACGTGCTTAGTTACTAATTGTTAGTTAATTCTTCCATTGAGCCAATATAGTTTACTTAATAGAGGAACATTACCATATTAGTAAGTATCAAAAGTCGATGAACAGATTTTCAAAACCCGTTTACTCCGTAGTATAGATATGTCACTATATAATTAGAATATTACCTTAATCCTCAACCAATTCTAGCATTGTTGAAATACTTATGTATACAATGGTGTTCATGGCTTTTATTACTCTGCAGGTTCTCTTCGACATTTGTTGCTGAATGTACAACTTTCTAAAATGTACAACGTAAATAAATTAGTGTAGAAAGTACTTACTTCTAAAGGTTCGCTGACGATTTGGCTTTCTGACATCCGAACACCATTAAGTATAGTGCCATTTTTAGACCCTAAATCAGTTGCCAGATATGACCTATTGGTTATATCATATCGTATGTCCAAATGAGTCTGAAACGTAAAATTAAACGTTCACACACTGATCTTCAAGATACAAAGGGTAAATAATAAAATGTATTAAATATTAAAGAAAATGTATAATCGAAAAAAGGTTCTTCATGTGAAGGTACCGAAATCTGGAGAAAATAATCTATAAAAGCACGAATCGTGTTTGTATTATAATTGGTATATAAAAATACAGTATATTTTACCAGATGGAAACTTTGTATGAATCGTCTAATACGGTCCCTTGTTTCATCAGTATTTCTGCCGTGAAGCAGCTATGGTTGCATGGCTATGTTTCGGTTTGAAGGGTGGGATATGGCAATGAAATTGCCTCCATAGGCACAAAACTTTTGTCCTCAGGAATGTCAAGACGATGTGATTTGTGATGTCAACAAATAAATTTTATTTTATTAAGTTTTGGCTTTGTGGAAGGTTGTCTTAAAATATGTAACATACTTTATGTTACATATTTTAGCAGAATTTGATGTTTAAATTTTTTATTGGGATACTTACCCTTGATATATTATGGTCCTTAATTAAAATTACGTGTTGGTCTCCTTCCCGTCCAATGGTTCCGCCGTCTTTGGTAATAAGGAACAAACTGCCGATCTTGAGCTTCGGTAGGTTAGTCTCTCGAACAATCACACGCATGCACGGTGGGTGATGTTTAGCTACAGATTCTGAAACAAGACGAATAAAAAATAAAAAAAAGATAGCATACATATACGCATATTCATGATCAGTCCACTAAACCTAACCTTAAAATTCTTTTGGGTTTAGGGCAGCCTGGAACTTATTAATTTATTTAACTTTTAAATAGTGAATCCTAGACCATGGATTATAAATTTTAGTTAAAGATGGCAGTGTAAACAAAAAATATTTATTACATTAATACTATATCTCCATAATTATATTTTGTAATATTTGGATACATCAAACATGGAACGCACAAAATTCATTATGAAACATTTTTTTATCGTACATGTATATATTTTTATGAGTATAAATAAAAATTGTCGAAATCATAAGCTAGCAGTCTGCGTAATATCATAACGATAGACTTTTTGCAAATTTCATTCTCAATTATTTTATATAAAAACCTTCCACAAGATGTAACAAAACAACAACAATAAATAAGAAGTGGTTAAAGTGTTACGAGTTGGTGGAATTTTAAGTTTATGGTCGTTTCAAAGAACACTCGCACTTTTTCACAATTTTATTTTAATTTATAAATACCTGGTCGGTTTCGGCTTTATGATATTCACAGATTTTGATGGGTGTCTTAGGGTTATTAAGGAGTATAAAGTCAAGACATAATTCTAATCAGGATCTTATACTCGTGAATTATTTGTAATTAAAATACACTTAAAATCTATCGACAGAGCTTATATAAACAGTATTAATTATTTTAAAGTAATAAAGGATGAAAAATGTACAGATTTTTTTTTTAAGTTTTTGAGACTAATTTGCAAGAAAGGCTAGAAATATAGTACTGGAATTTAAATCAGTTACTATGGAATTGATATGTCTGTATGTCAATACAAATTTTGAAACTTTTTTCATTAGATAGTCATGTTTAGGAAATAATATCTTGATTACAATAAATTTTAATAAACATTTTGAGATGATATTTAATGTTATTAACATATTTATATTATTATTATTATAAATAATAATATTATATTATTATAAAGGAATTACTAATGTAATACAAAAATTTATTAATGTAATTTATATATATATATATATATATATATATATATACATTAAATTTATTTTGAGAATTCTGATACGAATAATTTGTTACCATCGTCAGTAGCTGTCGAAGTACTAGCATTTGATTGAACATCTTCATTTTCTGATTTTTCACTATCAGTATCACTGCATTCACCATCTTCAAGTTGGTTGTCTGATATTGTGCTGCCCTTCTCTTTTTCATCAACAGTAAATATATCTATTTCTTTCTCATCAGACTTTTTACTATTTTCTGAATTATTCTGATCAACAGGTAGACTTTCTTTTTTCTTTTCTATAATCTTTTTGCGTTTTGGCTTGCTGGCTTTTTCGCTTGGATCCTCTTCTTTATCCTGTAAATTAATATCTTATTTGATATTGGAGGAGTGACCTAAGCATTTTATTTACCTAAGGCGGTTTGGCCTCGGAGTGAAACCTGAGAGAAGTTTTTCGTCAGGTTTTCAAGATCTTCTTCTGTTTTCATTACCTGAAACAGAAAAAAAATTGTATCTTGCTAGATATTTAGAGAATAAAAAAAAGAAAATGAAGCCAAGTCAAAAATCTGCACCACTGGCATACAGGGGTAAATAGTCTGAATAATTTTGACACCACTTTGAGACAATTATGAGTATGTATGACCTTTCCTATTCAATAGTTGCTGTCTATCCTATAAAATATATAAATAAATAATAATTTTAAATATTTTGTCATAGGTTTAAGTCTAGTAGAATGAAACAATAAAATTAACTATTTGAGTTTTCTTAGTAGTAGTAGTATATGCTAACAAATGTGAAAGTGTATTTGTTTATTAATACTTGGCGCCTTAATGGCTTAACAAATCACTATGAAATTTGGCACACAAGTACTACATGAGACGAAAAATGAAAGCTAGTAATTATACAAGTTAAGGGTTCCTAAACTTTAATGGAACACCCATTAAATACCTTTTATTTTACGGAAATTCAATATACTAATTGTATATTGAATTTCTGTAAAGCAATTTAAATATGGATAAAAACTTGTATTAGAAATGTTTTTAAGTAAATCATTTTATACTTTTATATGGAATATTCAGGTTTTGCGGAACCTACTTCAGGAATTTCTAATATATTGTCTCTTTCTAACAGCAATATTATACAAACAATATTTCAATTTATTATATCATCTACTTTTTTAATACTCATATTTTTATATCAATTAATAAATATCTTATTTTAATTATAAATTATATTGATTATAAAATTTATAATTAAAATAAGCTTAATCCATGCATAACAGCTACAATAAGGCACTAACCCTTTTTTGCCTCTTGGCTTTCTTTTTTTCATGAGCTTCCAGTGCTGGATTGACAGCTCTGCGATCAGGATATGAGTGAAAAACAAAAGTTTTTTTCTCATCTGAATAGTAATAATAACATTCTGTGTCTGTATGATAATACAAACCAAGTTCCTAAAACAAAATTTAAAATTAATGGTTGTTTTATATGGATATAAGTATATTTTATTTATTTATCATTTATTTGTGTTTTTAATCCTATTGATAATATGACTATGAAAATTTGTCAAGATATTATTAATTAATGCTTTTAAATGAAAATTTCTATGCAGAAAGATTAAAGGACATTTTATCCAAATTCTGTCAGGTAAAACCGTGTACATGGACAGTACATTACTATGTATTATATGTGTAGCAGATTGAGAAATTATAAAGTTTACTCAGTCAATTTAAATGTATAATCATACAATCGACAATTTAAAAATAATAACTAATAATGATGTGAAACTGAGAATAATGTGTCACACTGTGGCACAATGACAATGTAAGTGATTATTTATAGTTATATGGATACCCATCAATTGTTTATAAACAATATGCCTATGCAATCTATTACATAAAGTGAATTGATATCATTATATTTAATACAGCTCACAGTCATTGTCACTGCACCACTATATGTCTTCATAATTAATAGCTATATTGAAAAACTCACTGGATTATAATAATACCCTGTTTTGTAATCATAATACATGCCAGCCGACTCAACATACACCATGCCTGACTCTTGTAAAGCACTTTGAGCCACCTCTTTCACTTGATCTGCTATACTTTTATCATTTTCACCATTTTCTTCAGCTATACTCCATCCCTTTTCCTCATTTTCTAACTTGGCAGTCTTTGAATTTATCATATCACTATTTGTGTTAATATCTAATGTTTGTGTATGTAAGTCTTTAACAAGCTTTCCCGAAGTCTTGGAATCTACTTCTAGAGTATTTTCTGTACTATTTATATTTGAAATTAATGTTAAGTCATCAGTCTGTGTTGAAGAGTCTATTCTGCTGCTAATTTTTTCCTAAAAAGTAGATTAAACAAACATACAAGATTGATAAACTGCATAATCAAATAGAAATTAATGAATATGAACTAGATGTACAGTTATTGAAATTATTCTAATGAGTATTTTTTATATAATTCACATTGCATGATACTAAAACAAACATGCTGACAGTAGCTGGTGAAAAGTAGTGTTTATTACCAACATGAATTGTATGTAAGACAACAACATAAATGTGTCAGTTTTTTTCAATTTAACTAATCATGGTTGCTCTGACTCATAATGCCTTGAAAATCTTTATTTAAAATAATACCACAAGTAATAACAGTGATGACCTTTTCTCTAGAGACTACAGTATGTAGTTGTTCAAGATTGACAATGCACAAGTGATTGTCCCTGGTGTTGCAGGCATCCATAGGTTACAGTGACTGTTTATCATTAGATGAACTTTAGGTCAGTGGATGTCCTTAGGGGGCTTTATATTCGTTTGCTACTTTCGCGATAAAGAAGAAATCGCAAGAATCCAAAACTTTAATGCCAATTTTTAAAGTCAATTCTTTTGTTATTACTAATAATTTATAATATCAAAAATGGTAAGATATATAATAAAAACCTGATAGGCTATACATGTAAAAATTACCTTCTTCAGGTGGCTTTTTAATTTTGATATCATCAAGTTTTTCTTTCTGATACATATCCTCATTTTTAAGATTAACTTCAGAATTTCAGGTCTATATTTTAATGATAAGCGGAGTCTTCGGATGTTGAACTTCTTGGATGACTTCTCTTTTACACAGCTACCTTTAGATTCAATGTTTGAAACGTTCATGACTTTAAATATTAATTTATATAATATATAAGTAAACAAATTTATAAATGTAAGTATAATTTGCAATTTTAATTCTGCTTGCACTTTTTGCAGGAATGCACAGGTGATGCCAATTTTTTTTTTTTTTTTTAGTACGTTTGTTCCGTTTGGAACAGGCTAAGGTCGGAGACCATGCTGCCTAGTCTTCAAAAAGATAATTTGTCTGGAATGGTGATGCCAATGTCAAATGTCAGAACTAATTTTTTTTTTTTTTTAGTACATTTGTTCCGTTTGGAACAGGCTAAGGTCGGAGACCATGCTGCCTAGTCTTCAAAAAGATAATTTGTCTGGAATTTTATTTTTCTAATGTCGCTTCAATTATTGTCATAATCTTCAATATTTCATTTGTCAAATCCGGTAAGTACATTTTCATAAATATCTTTTCTTGAGTTTTCTTAAACCAGTGGATTTATCAAATTAAAAATAAATAATTATAAAAAATCATTGTCTTGCAATTCAATAAAAGTATTCTTATAGCTCCTTGAATGTTGTAGTAATATAAGTGAAAATAGCTTTGAAACAAGAAGGAAATCTTAAGAGAATCGGGATTGAGTGCGGGATATTTTCGGGTTTTTTGAAGATAATCCTAAGTTCGTCAAACATAATGTGTCTTTGAATGACAAATTCAGAGCAATCAAAAAAAAGGTGATGTAGAGATTGGGCTGTATTTGAGTTACACCATGTGCATGATGGGGAAGCGATCATGCCCATTCGGTGCAGGTGTTCGTTGAAATGTCCGTGGCCGATTCGTAATCTACAAATATTGGTGTAAAATTTTCTGTTTGTGTCCTTTCCTTTGCAGAACCACGGTTTTCCAATACGCCAATTAATTTTGCGGTACCATTTGCCTTTAGTCTGTAATATTTGAGTCCAATGCTCCTCCCATTTAGTTGTAACGATTTTATGTATTCCAATACTACAATCTGAGTAACAAAGGGGTAAATCTTGAACACGAGCAGCACTTGAATTAATAATTTTAGCCAAAGTGTCTACTTGTTCATTCCCAAACACTCCAATATGTGAAGGGGTCCAGATGAAGATAATATCTTTTCCATATATAGTACAGAGATGATAATATTTATTACGAATTTCTTGAATTAAGTAGTTTGATGATGAAATGAATGTGTTATTTTTTAATGCCATAAGAACACTCATACTATCTGTAATTATAATCCATTTCGAATATAGTACCTGTTTTTCTATGTATTCTAATGCTAAAAATATAGCTTTTGCTTCTGCTGTGTAAATACTAGCCAAAGTTGAAATTTTATAACCGTGACCAAATCTATTTGACAAATCGTAAAAAGCCACTGAAGTGCTAAGTGCATTTTTGGAACCATCTGTATATATCTGCCTGTAGTCAATAAATTCTGATAAAGTCTCATACATATCGTGCTTTTCTTTTATGTCTTTACGTATAACAATTTTGATCTTACAGAACTTACTCTCATAAAGGCCATTATAACAAGGAAGTATCTTACTACTATAGATGTTATATTCATCTCGTAAATTCAAATCATTGACAATAGTTTTATTCAAAAACATAGAAATGGGGCAATTTAATAATTTGAGTATGAGTGGGTTATTGGAAACTGAAAAAACTTTGAAGAGAAATTTGAGTTTTAGGTATTCGAAACGAAGAAGAATAGGAGGCAAATTACATTCTACTTGCATTGAGATAATTGGAGAAGTATACATAGCACCTAAAATAAGTCTTAAATTCATATTTTGAATTTTTTCGAGTTTTTCTACTAATTTATGTTCTGAGGCATAACAAAAGAAAGCGTAATCAAAATTACTTCTAACAAGAGATTTGTAAAGTAAAAGGATAATTTTAGGATCAGCTCCCCAGTTACGACCAATTACAGATCTTATTATATTAGTGGCTCTTAAAGCACGATCTACTAAGCAATCAACGTATAGATCCCATTTTAAATTTTGATGAAAAATTACCCCCAGAAATTTAACGCTACAGTCTGTTGGAAGAGTTTGATTATTATATATAATATTCATTAATGGAACATATTTATGAACTTGATGAAAAACAACTACTTTACTTTTGGTTAAACTAATATCGAGGGAAAGAAGAGAAAAATATTTCTCAAGTCTTTTTAATGACTCATTTAACACTAATTGCATATCAATAATATTCTTTCCTTTTATATAAATTAATAAATCATCGGCAAATTGCAAGTTGTTCACACTGTTTCCTAAAATTGAATTAAGTTTATAGATATATAAAATATATAGTAGCGGGCTTAGAATACCACCTTGACATACTCCTTTAGAGCTTAACCTAGGTCCTATTAATTTACTATTTACTTTAACATACACTTCTCTATTACTAAGAAAATTATAAATCCATTCGATAAGTTTCATTGGAAGAAATGAGGATAAAATCGAAGATAGAACTGTTAAATTTACATTGTTAAAAGCTCCTACGACATCTAAAAAAACAGATAGAACATATTCATCGTTATTCAAAGCAGTACTAAGGTCGACATAGAAGTTCGCTAAACTTTCGCGCGCTGAATATCCACGGCGAAAACCAAATTGATTCGATGGTAATATACTATTACTTTCAATAAAGAACTCTAAACGCTGTTTAATTAATTGTTCGAATAATTTGCCTGCACAGGACGTCAATGTTATAGGTCTATAGGAGTCGAAATTTGTAGGATCTTTACCGGGTTTAATTACTGGAATCAAACAATCCATTTTCCATTCTGGTGGGATAATACAGTCCTTCCATAAATCGTTAAAAATTTGTAAGAGTTTAGTAAGGTTTATTTTATTCAGCAATCGAAACATATTGTATGTTAAGCGATCAAGGCCACTAGCTGTATCTTTTCTAGATTTTACTGCACTGGATATTTCATCAATTGAGAATGGGTCAGTGAGAAATTTTGGGCATGAATTAACAGAATTAAACTGTTTGTCATCAAAAGGTGAGTGTACAAAATCAGGAGTATATTTGCGTAAAAAATCATTGACCCATGATATATCTTTAAAATGATTTTGACGATGTTTTGAATTTAGTTTTCTCATATTTTGCCAAACAGTGGAAATTGGTGTTAATCTATTAAATTTGGAACAAAATTCCTGCCACCCCTGTTGTCTTACTTGCTTAATTACTAACTTTTTAACAGCTTGAACTCTTTTAAAATTTATGTAATTATCGAGAGTTGGATTTTGTTTAAACCTAAGGTAAGCCGCTTTACTATCATTGACAGCTGTCGCACACCTGTTATTCCACCAAGGTACTGCAATATGTTTGTGCCTCTTTGAAGTATTTGCACCGCTATTTGATAAGTTCCTACGTGGAACGGAACGTTCCACAGCTGTCAAAATAATTTTACAGAACCTATTGTAATTGTTTAAGGGTTCATTGACATCATACTCGAAATCCAAAAGTAATTGATTAACAGTTTCAGAATAAAGATCCCAATTAACGAGACGTAGGTTTATACGATTTAACAAAAGTTTATTAACTTCATCTATAGGAGCATGTTGTTCACCTGACGTAGTTGATGAAGAGTTCTTTGTGTTTATTTTAGTAAAAGTCGGCAGGTGATAACTTCCTAACGGATCATCATGAACCGACCACTCGCATTTTAATGATATGGATGGGGATACCATAGTTAAATCAAGGCCATTGGGTCTCCAAATATGAGAGCCAACAGTAGTAACTTGCTTATCATTTAATAGTACCAAATTACATTCATCTAAACAATCAAGAATGTCTTTACCTCTTGTATTAGTGGAGGTACAACCCCACATAGTATGATGTGCATTTAAATCTCCAGATATGATAGTGGGTTTAGGAAGAGACTCCAAAAAGAACTTAAATTTGGCTTTAGTAAAACTAGGTGTACTATTGGTAGGACAGTAAATACTGGCAACTGAATACCAAGAATTATTAACTTCAATACTAATAGCTATAGTTTGCAAAGAATTGTCGAAAAAAGAGTGAAGTTTTTTATATCTAATACTATTATGTATAATAATCGCTACTCCATTGTGGTTATTACCACAATAATTTCGTTCTATACAATAATCTTTAATTTTTAATTTGTAATGTGGTTTTAGCCAAGTTTCTGAGATGAGAGCAATGTGAATATGATGTTCATTTAAAAATTGTGTAAAAATATGTCGATTGCTCAGTAGGCTCTGAGCGTTCCACTGTATGATAGTTAATTGGTCTCGATTGAATTTTGTGAAATAGGTGTATTACCAAAAGTATCATATAACACATTCAAAACACTTTTAGTGTTAATAGATGTGTTCTTTGTGTTATGTAGTGAAATAAGTTTGATTATGCTTTCTATTAAAAGTGATAAACTCTTGTTATCAGAATTTAGAATTGAAATTAGGTCTACATTTTTTTTAGGTTTGTTACCCAGTTTAGGAAATATTTCAGTGCTAAGTATATCTCCAAAAGAAGCAGGTCTGAATTTAGATCTATTTTCAGCAATTTTCTTTTGTTTAACAGGGCATTGCGGTGATACACTTGTGTGATTTCCATTGCAGTGTACACAAATAGCGTTTTCCATTCCAGTTGTACAAGTTTTATAATTATGCTCACCTTTGCAGATGCTGCAACGCTCAGAATTCTTACAGAATTTAGCTAAATGTCCATACCTCAAGCACCGGTAGCATTGTTTAACTGGTGGTATATATGGAGTGACATTGTGGCGCCAACCTCCAATATCCAGATATTCAGGTAATACAGATGCAGCAAAAGTAATTGCCACGGTTAGAGTTGGCTGTAACACATATCCATGAGTCAAGGTATTTTTTCTTAAAATTCTTTTAATAGCAATAATTTTCTTAGAACTCGATATCATAGTATATATTTTTTTATTAGATATATTTGTAGGTACATTTCTAATAACGCCTGTAACTTCTGTTGAAGAAGCAGGAATACTGGCCTTAAAATGGTAGTCATTTAAAAAAGTTTTATTATTTAAAAAAGCATTGGCTAAGTCTGGCTTTTGAAAGTATACTCCGATTTTGAATTTATTTATAGATCTAAGATAAGTTACCCCTTTATTAAATCGTTTTAAACAGGAGGAGAGTGAGAGCAAGTCTCTGGATCCAATGGTTTTCTGACTATCTGAGGATTCTACAAAGACAACAAATTCTGTCCCAGGGGATTCCTCGGGATATCTTCTAATATAATCTGTGACGTAGTAAGGTTTATACTTATCGGCCTTATCAATTTCAGATTCTGAGTCAGTAGAAGTATCTTCCGAATATATATCCTTGTCATTACAAGGTTCATGGTCTACATCACCTGAATCGTCATCTTTTTTTTTCCTTTTTCTACAACTGCGCTTCCCCATGAATGCTAATTATATTATTGTCGCTGAATTTAGTGAAAATATAATATTTTATTCAATAATAAGAATTGATAGAGATAGTTTTAATAAATTAATAAAAAAAAATTAAAAAACCCGCTTGTTCTTATTCGAGTTTCCCGCCTTTTTCACCTCAGAACTAATTTTGAAATTGACAGTAGACACTAATAAATTTTTTTTGGAGATAAAATCATTTTGCTGTACAGCTATAACGTGTTATCATAGTAAATTTAGCATTAATACCGAATCCAGTTACATATATCATCATCATATCAGCCGGTAACTGTCTACTGCTGAACATAAGCCTTACGGATAAAGGGAATTTTGCCAGTAGTTCCCACACTTGACAGGGTAGGCAACCATAGTTAGGCTGTTAATGTGATGTTTTAAGAGGAACTCTGCTGCCCAATTCTCTACCATTAAGTTGGGTATATTGCTAGCAATGGGATTCTCAGTCTTCATTACTAACAATCCCTTTCCCTCCAGCAATGAAGTTTGACAGCCTTATTGCTAGTAACTTTCACGTGGTTTCCCCTGATCGTAAGTACATAATTCTTGTTGAATTCGTCACGATGGGCTAACTGACCTGCTTCATCCTTCACTGGTGCTCCGCCGGTGTATTCCGATAGCGAGAGTGGGGATACCATTCCATTATTACCCACTAAAAAAAGCTCCATTAGTCATACTTATGAATTTTAAATAAATTGACTATTAACTCAAGTTATTTATAGTATAGTAAACATCCTTAGTAAATGACATATATAATTACAATTGATTTATATTATACTTCTATCATTATTTACGGCTATCACTATCACTTACGGCATTACTACACTACAATTAAAATTATCGAATTAACTATCTACATTCTACACTTAAATTTCACGGGTATAATAATGGGGATTAGTAGGTCCATTGTTAGCAATACACACTGTCAGGTTGGCTTCCTTGCATTTCCCCCTGGGAACCATCGTATTTAGTTCTAAGTGCGTCCAACATGAAGGGCTAGATATCTATCTATCTAAATGACCTGTTTTTTTATCCTCACTTATCACCCCTCACTGGTTCTCCGTATATAGTTATACAGCGTATACAGTTAGTCCCGACGGGATTATAATCCCATTATAATTTTTTAAAAATAAATATGTATGTACCTATATATAATGTAGATATGAGTATTAATTATATGTTATATAAATATTTTATATTACTATTGTTTTTATTTATTGCACCGTCAATTATGTATATTCTCTGTTATTCGTGTGTACGGTTGACTGATAGATAATGGCGTGTGGTATTACGTCTGTCATTTATACTATCTAGATAATTTAAGTAGATGAATAAACACAGCCATGTACATGTGTACATGGCTGTGTTTATACCTTCTTTTTTCCAGTAATTGTGAAAAAAACAGTAAAAAGTATTTTAAATTTATCGTGTGACAGAGTGGTTTCAGAAATTATGTTGAAGCCTCTTAGGGAAAGTTATTCAGTTCTATAAATCGGTATAATCTCGAGTTGTGATTTATTTGACTAAGACATATTTGAATTTTCTGATTCATCTACAGGTATACAATGGGGCGTATCCCGAGGTGCCAATTGTCTAAACAAGTCTCTCAATCCAATATTTTAATTTGATAATTTCGCGAAATTACTGTTAATAATTAATGACGGCTTAAAATCGATCCCATTGGCTTATAGTACCTCTTATTTGGTTTATTATGTTTGTATAATAAAAATACTATTTATCACTAGACCATTTTATTTATTTAAAAATAAAAAGCTCATTAATTACATAAATTTATGTGCGTATTAAATGAGAGGTGAATAAAAGATAAAAAAAACATGACAAATAAAGTTTATCAAATAATGAAAATGGTACGGTTTACAGTGGACATTGTTAAGTACATCTATCGTGAAACGTAAAAGAAATACATGATGAGATAAATCCTGTAAAATTGTATATTCGTATTACTAAAAAGATCTATAAATGCAAAACTCTAAATGAGTATACAATAGAAAAAAAATACATCCAAAGAAAAATGTTTATATAGCTCATTCGTTCATATTTTTCCTATAGTTTAAATGGTTTGTTAACCTTAAACCTATGGTAATTAAACAAGTACAAAATGATATTTCATCTTATAAATATCTATTCATAGCCTATAACTAGAGTCAGTTGTATAATTCATTAAATATTAAGTTAATTATATTTCATAGTGTACACACCATCTATTCATGTCGAGTAACCCATCATATTAAAAACAGTTATTCGATTCGGTTCTTACCGTGTTACGGCTTGGCTTTTACATCCGTACCTTATATTCGCATACATTTACACACTTACTACATAACATACACTGTGTATGGAAGATCTACGCTAAAGGCTAAAATGTTACATTTTCGATATGTTTAATTTTAAATTACATTAAATAACAATTGTCGAAACAATGGCACACACTCAGCCAAACGCATATCATTGTTCATTTTGGTCTGGACCTAAGTGAAACTAACGACAGTTCAGTCTCGTATTCGTCGTAACAAGACAGCAAATTTGTTAACAATTGTTGTGTATTGTAGAAGATGAATAGAAACAGAGAAAAATAATACTAAAAAGAAAGATAGTTTAGACTAGATTAACGATAAAAATATAATTTAGATAAAATAATAAAGTTGTATTGGAAATATAGCGAACTTGAGAGAGTGTTATGTATCAGATAATAATACTAATGATAGGTAAACTTGTAGACGCCATTGTATATGAGTTAGTTATTACCAAGTAACAATTTTATTATCATTATCAGCCCGCGACAGTATGCATTTTGATTTTTTCTCACAATTTAATAACATATGGAAATCGTATGATGGGCCATAATGTGAAGAAAGTATCACATCCTTATTAATATTATAAATGTGCAAGTGAGTTTGTTTATTTATTATCTCGCAAATTATAATGGATGGAGAAGGACATGACGAGCAAATTTATACTTATAACAACCTATTATCGTTCCACTACTGGGTTCGAGTATCTCCTCATTAGAAGTCTATATGAGTATTTGGTTAATACAAGTATAACCAAGTAATATCACGTTATAGGTTCGAATTTTAGAGTTGTACGTTGGTTTGTTTCCTTCCTAGGGATAAATAAGTGTGGATACACTGTATTCTTGCTCCGTCACCATATGGTATGAAAAAAAAAAAATAGTTCAAAAAAAATATATACCTACCTTACCAAATTGACATTATGAGCCCTTAAAACATAATGATGCGATAACGTTTACAATTTTGCGACATATCATTTTACCGTTTTTTTATACTAGAGTTTTCATCGCGGAACGGATTTGTATTAACATGTTTATCACTCATACGTACCTGATTTAACTTCGCCTTAGTCTAAAAGCTAATTATAACATTCTCTACTTCAACAATAACACTAGGTTAGGTACATTCTCATTATTGTGAAGACTCCATTTTTTATATAATTGAACCAGCAATACCTAACCGTACTGTGTAACACCTATTTCGCGAAGCTAATACGTAAGTAACTAACTTATACATACATAATATATTGTATAAGAAATTCGTAGTCACACGGCGCACAATTCCTTGTTTTTACGAGGTGTACTTAATAAATTATTTCGTATTAAATGCATATTTAATTGTAGATGCACACAATTTATATCAAACATACCAAAATGTTTATAGAATTCGTAATTTAAATTGATAAATAAATACAGTGAAATAATATTGTTTCAATAGTTCGACTAGGGATAATGAAGTTCAAAATCCACATCCAATTTATAAAAAGAATAATTTGTGAACCGGTTTCATAATACGGCTGTATATTAGGTATTTATAGTCAAATGCGATCTATGTTCTCAATAATAGCGCATAATAAGTTAAAACATGTTTCAATTTGAAACAAAATAACGCAATTTCATTCATACCTTAATCCTACAGCGCGTTTTAAAGTGATGGAGCAAAGATCGCGTTTGCACGTTACAGGCCGCTTAAAAGGCCCAAAATCACGGCTACTTGAAGTCGGGCCGAGAGCGTGGGGCCTTTGAAACACAGTGACCTACAAACTAAGGTGGCTTAAGGTAGTGAGGCAGTGCAGTCTTAAGGCGGGACGTATGGAGGTGGTTTCCTGTAAGTGGGTGTGGCTTTGGGCCTAGGGGGAGTGCGAGAGGCGGGAAAGGGGGGTGGGGGCCTGTAAGGGACGTCTTCGCCCCCCCTGTAGTCCGGTGCAGGAGGCAATAAGGGAGGTTTTTCTTCACGCATGATGACAGGACTCTTGTGTGCAGGTTCAGTGTCGGCGCGTTCCTCCAGTTCGTCTTGGAAGATGACCGGGATGCCCTTAGAGCGGAATGCTTGTCGTTCTTCTTCGTCACCGACGCTCATTTTACCTAAAAAATCGATAGTTTGTTGTTTTACTATTGTACTTATTTATTTTTAAACTCACACTATATTGTAACACACTTTTTATTTTTTATTAAAAACACATAAAATTTCAGTAGGTATACACTTTGATGCTGTTTTTTTGCTATGGTGATATTTTTATGACATCGAAGTGTATGTACAAAAAAATCGAAGGTGTGAAATTTTGTAGCAAAAAATAAAGCAGAAAGAAATAAACACATTTAGCCATTTTTAAATTGAGTGAAGAAGCTCTATAACGAATGGTTTTCATGTCAACAACAGTGAGTGACCTTAATTTTTATTGTCAAATCACCTTATGTTTCATTCAAGCATTTGCATCCGCTATACAATGAAAACTTATATTAATATATTTAGCTTAGGAAATAAAAAAAGAAAAGATTATGTAATAAATACAGTAATAATATGCAAACAAATTTTAATTTAAAAGTCAAGCTAAATGTATTTATGTCTGACGTTAGTTAAGTTTCTTTAAAATAGTTTCAGTAAGTTCTACTACTGTTCTATCTCGGAAGGGAGTTTCTACTCTAGACAAAGTATAATTTATTAGTAATATTTCCAATAAAAAGACATACATATTACTGACATAAGAATTTGCTTTTGTTCCTGCCAATATTGTTAGTATAAACGTATTTGTCTAGAGAGTTCGAAAAGATGGCAGTTTAAAGAAAAATATTAATGTAAAATTAGGTTTAAAGACAAAGCTTACCAGTTCGACGTCTTCTGTACAAGACACAAGCGATGATTCCAGCTACAAGAATCATACAGACGATCACAACAGCTGGTATAATGAAAGTCACCAGGTAGCTGGACTCCGCTGAGTCCGCTTTGGTGTTGAGCAATTTCGTAGAACCAGGGTGAACTTGTATGGTCGTTTTAGGCACTTTAGTGTTCTGTTCGGCGCACAAGCCCAGTGGTATAAGCCTTATGGACATAACTTTGAAGTCTTTATCGAACACGTGGTCGACGTTCTCTTTGAGAGCGCCCCCTGTCGAACCGCGCTCGTCAACAATTATCATTTTTCGTAATTCCTCGATTTCTTTTTTCGGGCACCTATCCATCGGGAGGCTTGTGTTGTACCTGTGAATTTATATGTTCCCTATAGTATAAGCCAGTCTGATGGTAAACGGTCACTGCAGCCTATGGACGCTTGTAACACCAGGGATGTCAATTGCACGTCGCCGACGATAAAGAATATTAACAATCCCTTTTTAAAGAACTTTATATTGTAGTTTCTAGGGAAAACTTTATCAGGGAGCTCATTTCAATTTAATGATAGTTCGCACAGTATTCTGTATATATGTTATATTGTCTTTTAAAGTGGAAAACTGAATGTTGTTTTTTTATTTATATTTTATACAATTTAGAATGGCAAACAAGCTGACGGCCCACCTGATGGAAAGTGGTAACGGTCGCGTATAGACATGAGCATTACCATGGACATAACAGAGTATACTGTTTCGCCCATGATACCCCTCTTGCGTTGCCACTCCTGAGGACTCTATTATATATAATTATGTAAGTATAATTGTTTGGCGACTGAGATAGATAAGACGGAGACTGTGTTCAGATGATTGCATGCAACCTTACATGGTTTTACATACATATTGTAGCTTGAAACACACATTGACTTAGACTTTATATTAAACTTACCAAATAATAGTGGTTGGGTTATCAGTAATGCTATTAATCCTAATGTTATCTGTACTCTTTTGTCCAAACAATGCTGCCAACTTCTCGACAACTTTTCGTTTGTTGTTGGCATCATAGGCAAGTTGCGCGAATGGGTACTCCATTGTCATTTGGAATTCCACTGTAGGACGAATTGTGGGTGATTTGACAACTTCTACAATTAAGCTGTCGTACGCGCTCTTTTTGCTTGAATCTTCGGCAATCTGGCAAATAATAAACATGTCTAATGTAGTATATGTATTCGTAATATAGTCTGCTAGGGGGAAAGGGATTGTTAGCAATGGAGTTTGAGCCCCATTGCTAGCAATATACCTTATTAGGTCGACCTCCACGTGGTTCCCCCTGGAAACCATCGTGAACACTGAACTGACCTGCTTCATCCTCACCTATCATCCTTCACTGGTGCCCCGCCGGTGAATACCGATAGCGCGGGTGGGGTTACCATTCCATTATCATCCATTAAAAAAATATTCTGCTTACATCAAGCTATATACTGTTTAAGAAGTGTAGCCAATTACTACGCCAAATTCCATAAGGATAGAACACTGAATGCTAAAGTCCCTTCTTTCTTTATATACGTCTCAAGCTTTAATTTTTTTCATACACATACATCGATTCAAGAGATTTATGACTACATTCTTAAATAAAACAAATTGTATTTAGGTTATGACTTGTCATACCAAGTAGTCCTCTGATCTCGTAACCTACAACTTCGCATTGTATATCTGTTTTGTCATCTTTTTATCTATCTACATGCTTGATACAACTATGTATATTTTCTTTTTTTACTCGGACTTTTTCAAATCTACTAGTTCTCGAATAGAATATTACAAAAACTAGAAGATTAGCAGTGTTACTTTGTAAACATTTATGTTGCTCTATAGATAGTTTCACAAAATTTACCAGCTGATAATGCACGCTGCCTTCGTCGCTAGGCGCAGGAAGGCCGTAGAACTCCTGGTTGCGCGTATCGAACTGCAGCCAGTGGCCGGGTGGCAGCTCCGAGCGGTCGCTGTAGCGGAGTGACAGTGCCAGGTTGCGGGTACCGCCATCCTCAGGATCGAAGAACGTATCCTGGAAATATACATTACAAAATACAACCTGTTTCAAAAGGCTGATGTTCTTTATTGCATTGTTTTTTGAAACGTCATGTGACAATTTTATTAATTATACCGATTCGGTCCCAGAGCACGTCTCAATCTAGTGCACATTGGTTAAGAAAGAGGCTTTGTTTCTTAAATAATATTAATGCGTTTTCGAATCGGGCACTCATCGCATGAACAGTATTCAATGACAGCGCTGAGGCTCGCAGGCTGGTTGTTTCCTTTCGTTTCTTGTATAATATAGCTACAAATTGACTTCAGGCACATTATGAACAACAGTGGTTAGTTGGTCGATATGCTTCATCGAGATGAAAGGGAAAGCGATTGTAAGTAATGGAGTCTAAGAGCCCCATAACTAGAAATATACCAGGGCGACCTCCACGCGGTTCTCTATAGAAACCATCGTGATTAATTTTTATCGAATCTGTTATGACGGACCAACTAATCTGCATTCATTCACATCTATCTTCTTACTAGTGCCTCGTCAGGGCAATCCAATAGCACAGGCGAGGTTACCATTTCACTTTCATAGCGTCTGTGTCATCGACCGATTGCTCGTTTCAATTCTCCATATCGTCATAGTCGTAGAATACTGACGGATCTATATATGTAATATTGGTCAGTATGAGGATATAAGAGCGTGGCGTAGTACCGGTACTGACCTCGGGCACCTTGTGCACCAGCAGCTGGCCGACGACGGCGGTGAGGTGGTCGACCTGGTTCCTGGAGACGGGCGGGAAGGCATCGGGCGCGCGCGTGGCGGAGGGCGCGGGCGGCGCGGGCGCGGCGGGCGGGGCGCAGCGGCCGCGCGGCTGCCAGCGCACGCGCCGCGCCTGCAGCTGCGGCCACATGGCGCGCGACAGCCGCGGCGACGGGCTGCCCGCCTCCGTCTCCGACTCCATTATCTGAACCACGGGGATTCATTACTATTAATAGTTGTTCGTGCAGCACGAGTGCATGTTAGATATAGTTCGAGTCATCCCTGCATATACGAGTATTTTCGCAATTAATACAGGTACAAAAAAAAAAACAATAATACAAGAATAATGAGGTTTTCCCTCTAGTTTACTGAGATTTTTTTTGTATGCCTGTGTAATTTTCTAAACAATGAGGGAGGGAGAGGACGCATACAAAGACGTCTACAATGATGACACGCTCGTCAAAAACGCACGCAGTCATTCTGATAAACGTTTCTCTGTCATTAAACAGTTGTACTTACATTGCTGATTCAGTTCGAAGGAAGAGACAAAAGGTGAGATTATTAGGTATGCCATGAGACCTTAGTTCTCAGAAATTGCTTGAGAGCTTATGAAATATATGAGGAAGGAGTACTTTTGTACATTGTAACATTCATGTTACTTTTTTTTTTAAAAGAGCTCACGCCAATTTATAGTATTTAAAAAATATTAAATAAATCAAATAATATTACAAACCTTCATCAGTCTATTAATATCATCCATTGGACACGCCGGATCTTTTGGAAGCGTGTCGTTTGTCCAAACAAATTCACAGATATCATCAGTTTGAGTGGCTTTCAGTACAGTTAAATGGTGCATATCAGTATCTCTGAAGAGGTTGACTATCCCCTCCAGAGCTCGTATCTGCCAGTCGATGACGTTGCTGTATGGCTTCAGAAGTTTGAACTCCATGATGAATTGGTGATTGATGGTGCGACCGCTCTTGTGTTGTTGCACGGTGATGTCGAGGGGCCCTCGCGCTGCTTCACCCTCGCTGTCTTTGGCTTCCACAATGAAGTTCCACCGCGACACGTGCTTTTCTAATGGTCTGTAATAGATAGATAGATATATAAATTATTTGCATCACTTACAGTACACAAATTACAATAGATATTGGTTAAATAATAATATCAAATAACATTAGATATTGGTGCATACTTAAAAAAAAGAAAGTACATAAAAGAGGTAATATAATTTTTCCTGAGTGTGCCACAGTAACGCAAAATGGTCACAACTCAGTTTATTGCTTTTGCCCTCAAAAGAACAAAACATTGACATTCTGTTGTGGTCAAACGCCAGCTGTGCGAATTCTTAACAAATAATAATAATAATAATAATAAAATAATAGCAATTGGATTCGTTTGTTTAATGTTTATGCCAGGGTGCCTATGTTTTATCAAGTTCAATTTACTATGTGGTGACGCCAGTTTAAAATTAATAACATTATTCATATTAGTATTTGCGCCTACTCGCTTTTCGCTATGGATAAGGGATGGGTACTTTACATGCTCGCAATTTTAGTGGTTATCTGTGGGCTATGGACCGATTGTGTCCGATCTTTGTCGGTGCTGCCCTCTCGCGCCGATGCTCTTCTTTTTCGAACTTCGTTTTGAGTAACCGCGACTGGCCGCTTTCCTACAACTTAATTAAAAAATAATATTTATCGGCTGTGCTCCGTGTCATCTTTCGGACCATCGAACCCCGGATCCTGTAGAGAGCTGCTGGAATTGTTCGCAGGTGAGTACCTATCTTATTTTTGAAATTACGAAAAGCGAGGTAAAAACCAGCCGGCGACCCGGCTCACATATCGAAGGAAATAATTGTTATTCTTATTGAATTGCTTCACCATTTCTTTCTGGTCCTATCGAACCTTGGATGCCTTGCTAGTAATTTAATACGTATAATTGTATTGAAATAGGTAACAAACGTATCATAAGTTAATTGAATACGTTCGTTTAGGTAGGTAGATTTAACTTGCGTTCACTGCGTTACTGAAACGCCAACATAACACCTAAGTTATCGGGTTGTGTTTTGTTATTAGTCGCGGTTTTTAGCTATATTATAATACTCGACACTAAGTTAATTTGTCGTAGTATCTATAATAATTACGCCTAACAATAAGTTAATTTGTTAGAAGATTATTTTTAACATTTTTTGTGTAGGTAGTATAAAACTAAGTTCTTTGTTATACTATTGCGGACTTGTTTTAATAACTATATCATATTTACGCAATCTCTGCGGTATATCAAGCTATTTTTAAACAAGCATAGTGCACGTACCATCTTCGTTACTATAAATGTATTTAAATATATTTGATTATTAAAGATAGAGATATTTATTATATAGCACTAAGTTACTTTGCTATATTGTGGATACCTATATTTTTTAAGAATAGTTCACATCTATTTGCATTGCTGTAATGCAGACAGCATTACATTAGGTGCATATTACATTTGTTTGTATAATATATACACTTAGCGGTTGCAAATATAGTATTATTTTGTCATATCTTTTCTAATTTAGATTATTAATTACTTAAATATTCTCGTATATACTGGAGTTTAAGTATCAGTACAAAAGGTAAATTATATGTAATTAGTAGCCATTTGTAGTAGAAGTTGTAATAGTAATAAGTTATTTGCTATATGCTAGGTCTATTCCTTTACATTGCGGTTTGTTTACATTTTATCTCATTTCAAAAGAAACGCCACATTATTGGTATCCCATGCAAAATTAGCTTAACTAAACAAAAAGTGTTGCTTTGAATATTGCTGTTGTTTAGGTAAAATTGTTTAACGATTGTTTATGCATTTACTGACACGTCATAGATTTATTATATTCAATTGAAAGTGTTAGCAAGTTAATAGAATTGTTGTTTAGTGATATGAGTGATATTTATTATATACCTGTTCAAGTATAAACAACGTTTACACATATTTGAGTATTGTAATTATTTGTTGAATTTATGAAAAATAATAATTAACTTAATTTTATTTAATTAGTATAGGTACATACCTATAGATACTATGAGAACTAAGAATATACATAATTTTTTTAGTGGTTATCTATTGGTAATTGTAATAAACATGATTATTGACCTATAATCGAACATTAGTAATAACGAGGTGTCCCTATAGGTTTCTCTAACGGAATTTAATATTTTAAATAATTTATTTACTTGAAGTAGAATTTGTTAGTTTTAACTAGGTTTCTTGAAATTAAACATAACTTTATAAAAACAATACTTTTAAATAATTATCGTTTCTTATATAAACATATGAGGTGTTAATAAATCTTATTTAGTTTTTAAATTGTATATTATAGTAATTATCTTACCATGGTTCCAATTAAGGATCTTGAAAAGAAAATTAAATTGTATGAAGCTCAACGAGCTCGTTCTTTTAGTCGGGTGCAAGCCATTTATGACTTAATACCAGATATTTATAAAAATGAAACTATTAAAAAACAATTTTTGAGTAAAGTTCGTACCTTGGAACAGTTACGTTCTGAATTTAAGGAAATAGTAGAACAAATTAATTGGATGAATATTGAATTAAATAAAGATTTTGAACCTTCCTTTTCGAGTTTAGATTCATTTGATGACTTATACTGTGAAATAAACCTGGTGTATGATCAGCTTTCTGCGTCATCCCAGTCTTCTCAGGCACAGCCTTTAAATGAAAAGGCTGTAACTGTAACGTCTAATAGTAATGATTATATGAAGATTCCCCGCATCGAGTTACCATTTTATAATGGCGATATACAGCAGTTCCCTTTCTTTTACGAAAGTTTCAAGCGTATGATACATGATAACAATAATTTAACAGATTCTGATAAAGTACATTATTTGTTTAATCAATTAACTGGTAAAGCCAGGTCTATAATTGTAGGCGTTGTACCTTCCGCGGAAAATTATTTAACAGTTTGGGAAACGTTAAAACTTAAATATTATGATAAACGTGAATTGGGTACTTCTTATTTGAATCAGTTACTTTCAATGAAACCTCTTGTTGGTGCTTCGGCACAAAATCTGGAAGATTTTATTGATAAGTTTGCAGCTACAATTGCTGCCTTAAATCAACTTAAGCTTGAAAATGTAACTGAATTTATTTTTGTTCATTTGGGTCTTAAGTTACTAGATCCTGATACTGCAAGAAGTTTCGAAATGTCGATTCGGAATAATAATGGTATGCCAGGTTATGAGGAGTTCGTTCATTTTGTGCGAGAACATGTTAAAGTTCTCTATCGAACCTCACAACCACGTCCTTCAATTAAAAATGAAAGATTTGTTAGCAAATCTACTAACAGTAATCGCTTGCGTACCAATCATGCACATGTTTCAACTGGTGATCCTCGTTCTAAGTGTCTGTTTTGCAACAGTGCAGTTCATGTAAAAATTTCAAATTGTGATAAATTCTTAAAATTGAATCCCATTGAGAGGTATCAATATGTAAAAGATAAGAAGTTGTGTACTAATTGTCTTAGTTCTCAACATTGGTCTTCCCGCTGTACGTCACAGCATGTTTGTAGTAAGTGTGACGGAAAGCATCACACGATTCTCCATTTTAATAATAAGCCTCCATCGCAAGCCACTGTGGCTCTTAGTAATACTGAACCATGTATTAATAATAAAGTGAACAATGGAGTTCAATTTGAAAGTGAAGGTGATCACCAAGTTTTAAATAATCAGGTATCTTTGTGTACAATGTCAACTGAAAAACGAGTTGTATCTCCAACTACTGAAGTTTTGGGTACAGCAAAGGTTGTTGCTGCTTGTCGTAATGGCAAAGAGATTTTAATTAGAGCTCTCCTTGATCCTGGTTCGCAGAAAAATTATATATCTGCCAAGGGTGCTAGACGACTAGGCTTATCTGTCAATAAAAGTTTATCAGCTTCAGTTAAAGGTATTGGTGGTTCTACTCAAGTTGTAAAGGGTAGCGTTAATTTTGTATTTCGTTCCACACTTCAACATGGGAAAAAGTATTCTATAGAAGCGCTTGTTTTAGAAAATATTACATCTAGATTGCCTACTTGCCCTATAGATATTACTAAAATATCTGGATTTGAGGGTATTGCATTAGCAGATAATTCGTGGAGCGTCCCTAATGAAGTTGATTTATTAATAGGTGTACAATTGTTTACCAATGTATTATTGCCGGGTAAGATAGTTAATGCCCCAGGCCAACCGAGTGCTATCGAGACGACTTTAGGTTATATCGTTCTTGGTGATGCTCCTATTACGACAGTGTGTACTTCGTCTCTTAGTTTTTGTGCTACATATGAAGTCAATAATTTAATAAAAAAGTTTTGGGAAATTGAGGACTTAGGAAATTCTCCTATTCTCAGTCTAGAAGATAAACAGGCTGAGGATATATTTAAATCAACTGTTAAGCGAACTAGCTACGGTCAATATGAAGTTGCTTTACCTTTTAAACTTGATTCTGAAAATTTAGGAAATTCTTTGAAGGCTGCAGAGCGCAGTTATTTACGATTAGAATCGAAGCTTCGTTCTCAACCAGCAGTTAAGTTGGCGTATGATGAGGTTATTACTGACCACCTTAAAAAGGGATACTTGTCTGAAGTAGATATTGTGCCTCAAGAGAAAGCATATTATATTCCTCACCGGGCTGTTATTCGTGAGGATAAGATTACTACAAAATTGAGAGTCGTTCTTAATGCTAGTTTTCCTACTGACTCTGGTTTGTCTTTGAATGATATTTTGCATGCAGGCCCTAGTCTGCACGCGGATTTGTTTTCTATTTTATTAAATTTACGTTTGTTTCTAGTTGCTATTTCGGCAGATGTTCGTCAAATGTATTTAGCAATCCATGTTCGTGAAAAGGATCGTCCATTTCAGCGTATTTTGTATCGTTTTGATTTTAATGGACCAATCAAGGTTTATCAATATAACCGTGTTGCTTTCGGTTTGCGATCCAGCCCTTTTTTGGCGTTACGTACTATACAACAACTTTTGGAGGATGAAGGCGATCGTTTTCCTGTTGCCAAAGAAATTGTTTCTCGTGATATTTTCATGGACGATATCGTTAGTTCCATTATAAATGAACAGAAAGCTAACGATGCTGTGCGTGAGTTAAATGAGCTCTTCACGGCTGGGGGATTTGAATTGGCAAAATGGTCTTCCAATTCAGATCGTATATTACAGGAAATACCTGAAGACAGGCATTTGTCACAGAGTGTCTCATTTGATAGTGATGATGATGACAATACTTTCAAAATCTTGGGACTACGTTGGGATCCCATCGATGATAATTTTACCTTTCAGGTTAATCATGATGAACGTCCATGTACTAAACGACATATACTGTCATATATTGCTCGGTTGTTTGATGTTTTAGGGTTAGTGGCCCCTATTGTACTTTTCGCTAAATTATTAATTAAAGATTTATGGATAGCAAAGATTGATTGGGACGATTCTCCCCCAGAAAATATTGTTAAAAAATGGCATCAGTTTCAACGTGAGTTGCCCCTAATTGAGCAGCTTAAATTTCCTCGTCACATTGGTGTAACAGAAAATTGTAGGTTGACAATTCTTGGGTTTGCTGATGCAAGTGAGAAAGCGTATGGCGGAGTAGTTTATGCCTGTGTTACTACTCCTAATAATGACAATATAATCACTTTGGTTTGTGCCAAGTCCAAAGTGTCCCCATTAAAAATTGTGTCACTTGCAAGACTAGAGTTATGTGCGGCTTTAGTTCTTGCACAACTCATAAAAAAGGTTGTTTTTAATTACATGCCTCGGTTTTCTGTTCATACGATTTTAGCATTTTCGGATTCAACAGTAGCATTAAGTTGGATCCACTCAGAGCCCTATCGATGGCAAACTTTTGTAGGCAATCGTGTGGCAAAAATACATGAGAATTTGCCTAGTAAACATTTCTATCACATTCGGGGATTAGATAACCCTAGTGATTGTTTATCTCGAGGGCTAACACCAGCACAACTAGTGAGTCACCCTCTTTGGCTTCACGGCCCTCCTTGGGCAAGTAAACCGAAAGATTTATGGCCTATTAAACCTTTTATACCTCAAGGTGAGTCAATTCCAGAGGCAAAATCAGTAGTTTTAATTTCTACTTGTGATTCAAAATCGAATGTATTATTTGAGTTATCTCGCAAGTTTTCATCATGGAGCAAATATCTTCGGTCTGTTGTTTATTTACTTAAATTTGCTAGAATATTACCTAAAGGGCCTATAAGCGCCGAGGATTTATCTAAGGCTGAAATTCACATAATACGAGCACTTCAAAGTGTTTATTTTGCACAAGAATTGGCAGATCTTTCAGCTGCGAACTTGTGTTCTAATTTAGTTAGACAATTGAAACCATTCTTAGATAATGGTGTTATTCGAGTTGGTGGCCGTTTGGATAACGCAGATGTATCCTATGAATTTAGACATCCCTTCTTGTTACCCAGACGTGATCATATTGTAGACATTCTTATTGATTACCATCATAGGAAGAATTGTCACGCAGGGCCTGAAACATTAATGTCCCTTTTGCGTTGCAATTATTGGATTATATCTGCACGACGAATTATTCGTCAGAGAATTCGTCAATGTTATTTTTGCTTTCGCTTAAAACCTCAAGCTCTTTTTCCAATGATGGCTGATTTGCCCTCATGTAGGGTAAATCAAGTAGAAAAACCATTTATTCATACTGGTTGTGATTATGCTGGACCTATTTCATATACGCCTCAGCGTCGTCGTGGTGTTAAAGCCCAGAAGGCGTATATTTGTATATTTACTTGTATGACTACTAGAGCAGTTCATATAGAACTTGCTACCGAACTTAGTACTGCTAGTTTTCTATCGGCTTTCAAGCGTTTCCTGTCCCGTCGTGGTCCGGTAAAATATATGCACTCTGATAACGGAACCAATTTTATCGGTGCCAAATCATACTTACGCGAACTGCATAAATTTTTAGCCAATGAGTATAAAAAATATTGGAAACAAGAGCTCGCGGAAAACCGTATTTCTTGGCAAATGATTTGCAGGAATGCCCCTCATCATGGCGGTAGCTGGGAGAGTATAGTGAAGGGAACGAAAACCCATTTGTATAGGACAATTGGTCAGCAAATATTATCTTATGAGGAATTGGTGACCGTACTCACACAGATTGAGGCATTGCTAAATTCACGACCACTGTGTGCTCTTAGTTCTGACCCTTCGGAACCCAGGGTTTTAACACCCGCTCATTTTCTTAATGTGGTGCCTTTAAGCTATTTACCTGCATATCCAAATATTACATCGTCTGACCACCTACTGCAGCGGTATGAATTATTGGATAAAATCGTACAATCTTTCTGGAAAAGATGGCGAAACGAGTATTTGCACACACTCCAAGTTAGACAAAAATGGAATACACCGTCAGTGCCTATTCAGGAAGGTACGGTTGTTGTATTAATGCAAGACAATATTGCTCCATTGTATTGGCCCCTTGGCCTGATAGTTAAAACCTTTCCGGGAAAGGACAATATAGTACGTATAGCACTTGTTAAGACTAAAAATGGTACTTATCAACGGCCTGTCGTGAAATTATGTCCTCTTCCTATGCAATAGTATTATTTAATTATAGTTAGTTTAGATACTCCATCAGGAGTCCGTAAAAGTTTAAATATTAGTATAATTTCTTATTATAGTGCGATGTAATAGTTATAGTTGTTATGTTGAAAGGCATCCTTTCAAGGCTGGGGGAGAATGGTGACGCCAGTTTAAAATTAATAACATTATTCATATTAGTATTTGCGCCTACTCGCTTTTCGCTATGGATAAGGGATGGGTACTTTACATGCTCGCAATTTTAGTGGTTATCTGTGGGCTATGGACCGATTGTGTCCGATCTTTGTCGGTGCTGCCCTCTCGCGCCGATGCTCTTCTTTTTCGAACTTCGTTTTGAGTAACCGCGACTGGCCGCTTTCCTACAACTTAATTAAAAAATAATATTTATCGGCTGTGCTCCGTGTCATCTTTCGGACCATCGAACCCCGGATCCTGTAGAGAGCTGCTGGAATTGTTCGCAGGTGAGTACCTATCTTATTTTTGAAATTACGAAAAGCGAGGTAAAAACCAGCCGGCGACCCGGCTCACATATCGAAGGAAATAATTGTTATTCTTATTGAATTGCTTCACCACTATGACTACTCACAATCCATAGACTTCACGCCCGGAAGGTATAAACTGTATCCACGAGTCCTTGCGGAGCGGTACATTTTCCGCTTCGTACATGGTGAAAGTGAGATTGGTTCCATCTTCAGCGTCAGTGAACAGGTCTGCTGGTATAATATACCTGGAATTAAGAGTTTTAATAGGTGAATTATAACAACTAATTGCCGAGTAGATGTCACTCCTCATGAGGACACTGGGTTATATATATTACTGAGAAATTTATTAAGAACTAGCTGTCTTACACGGTTTTGCTCGCGGCATTTAGTATATAAAGTATCTTATGTTTTAAGTCAGGATCTACCAGTATACCAAATTTCATAGAAATCCGTTTAGTCGTTTATTATTGAATAACAAACATTATATTATTGCAAATTTCCATATTTATAATATTGACATTCTAAGTAAAATAAAACCTGGTTGGCACTGGCATAGAATGGGCCATCCCTTGTTTTTCTGTGGGAGCCATAAGAGGCGATTAAGAGAAATTAATGATAGATGGATAGGCAGCAGCGTCCCTCTTAAAACATTTTTAAAAGCCTAACTGCGGTTGCCAACCCGTCTGCCAAGCGTGGCAACTACTGCTAAAACTCCTCTTGTGGGATGTGATTATGTTCAGTAATAGACAGTTAACGCTTGAAATAATGATGATGATGAAGTAACAAAAAAACATACCTGAAAGCTTTACCCGCCGTGATGGCTAGCTTCTTCATATGGTGTTTGAGAGTTGGCGGATTGTTGACCGGCATGGGGAATGTCACCGTTTCAGTTGTAAGCCCTATTATCGTACTGCTTCTTTGAGATGGTCCTACTTCCTGCAACTATATCAATATATTATGTAGTCTCATTACTAGTTTCAATAATAACAATTTAAATTTAAAATGAAATGTAAAAATAATTCTACTGGCAAAGCAATTTAATATTATTTATACAAGAATAAACATATTGACTGACCAACGCATAGACGAAAGTACTGGCTCTAGAAATATAAAATTTTACACAGATGTTTCTAATAGAAAATATTTAAGTGAGCACTAAGAAAGGATTTCCCAATATTCGCATGGTAACGGGCAATAACGGGTTCCGTATGGAGTAACTACTTTAACATAATAACAGAGGCGTATAGCAAGTAAGAAAGGCTACAGTGCAAAAATCTTTACATAGTGTATGATACATCATAATTTATGTCGAAGTATGAAATCCCTCATATTACTCATGTAATTTGTATATGGCAGTTTCTACTGACTAGCCTCCAAATTACTCCATAGTATCAGATCGATCGATTTGAACATAACTAATTATTTTTAAACTTTAAAACATAATTATATGATGTTGAGGTTTATTCTGAAGGATGAAGTCTCAATATTGCATACACAAAATGTAACATTATGTGAAATCGATAATGACAATTGTAGAGGAGAATTAATAATGTGAGAGTAATTTTGAATTTTGTTACGGTTAGTGTTAGATAATGAAATACCAAAACAACACTCCTCGATACCCAAAATGTTTTATTATTAATTAAAACGTGTCTTTTGCTGTACCTGTATAGATTCGTCTTGATAACATCGAAGAAACGCAAAATAGGTGAAAAACTATTATTCAACGGACCTGTTTAGTGACTTCCTGTATCGTAGTTTCTGGAACTGACGTGGTGGTGGGAATATCTGACGTCAATATTGTCGTCTCGGCCGTCGACGTGGTGGTCGGTGGTTGTGTGGACGTCGTGTTCACTGTTGTGACTACCACTGGCGGTAGTGGTATTAAGGACGGCGACGGTTCTGGAGTTTGCGACGTCGTCGGCGGCGACGTCGTAGTCGAAGTCGTCGACGACGTGGTCGATGAGAGCGTCGACGATATGGGCTGTTCTGATGACGACACCGGCGGCAGTTCGTCCGACCCGCGTATAACTACTGTTTGCTGAAAGTGCCATGCGGACGCTCACGCGATGTGTCGCGGTTACAGACGGGAAGACAACGAGACGTGGCTTGGAGATATTCCTTGATTTGATTCCTTTTGATCGCTCCTTGAATTGACTGACAAGGATAGTAGTGCTACATGCCGTGCACATATCCGGTTTATATACATATTTACAAATATATTGTATAGGAAAATATTCTGAAGAGCAGAGAAAACGTGGGACGAGAAAAGTAACATATTAAAGATCGCAATGGCAAGAAAAGAAACATCTGACAGATTAAAAATAGGAATAGTATGATATCATCATACAGTTAAAATTTATATAGAAATGAAATGCTTTTTTATATTAATAATAAAGAAGTACGGATAGAATAACTAAGCAATGACTAATTCATATTTTTATGACGAGTTTAGATATAATTAAAATGCCTTTTCACTCTTGTGGCATACAAAATATTTTTTATTTTCAATTATAAAATAAATAAAAATGATATATAAATTTTATAAATACGGATATATGATTAAATATTCATTTAATAGAAAAAATTTGTTTGTTTCCACAACGTTGTCTTTACGTCCATCGATTAGTAAACTATTTAATGATAAAAATAATCCAAAAAGGAAAATTAATGTTCCATTCAATATTATACACTCAACATTCAATAGAAATAGAATTCTTAACCTTTCAATTTATATTTACTATTCACTTCCCTTTTCGGACTATAATTAATATTTTGAATCACAAAATGGGGCGTGAACTGGATTATTGATTAGAGATCAACTACTTCTAATAACCCCGTGTTAAATTTCAAACAACCCACACACAATTAGTTTGATACCCTCTAGATGACAGTTAGATTAAGGTGGAGTGTTTAGATAAAGACAACATACCACTTCCATTTCAGTTGTGGTCTGTGTCTCGGATACATTGTTATCGGGGAGCGCAGACGGTAAACTGCCGATTCGTCTTGGGACGAATGGAATTTCCTTCGTATAATTTACATTGCTCGCCGCCTCTGATGCTGATTCGTATGGTGTGATCTTCACTTTATTGTCCTGTTAAAAGATAATGAGTTATTTATAATGTGATTCATGATGCAATGATGTGTCGCATACAAAGTATTTGGTCATGCTAGACTGCGTGCTACTAATTTTCTAATATACTACAAAATAAAAAAAAACTTTCACTAAGGCTACATTAATAATTGATAAACGTAATATTTAATTTTTATTATAAAATTGTAGTTCGATGAATATAGTGGAATTGTTCTAAAATGTATTTTGCTAAAAAGTATCATGTGTCACTATGTATTTAAATAATTTGAATAAAAAATTGCATAGTCTAAAACTAAAAAGATAGTTTATTGTGTGATTTATTGTGATGATCATAAATATTTTATTATTATGGTTAATACTAGAAAATAATAAAAACAAATAGCAACACCTAAATCTCTACACTACACAAAATAGAATTAAAGTTGTCTACACTACACTAGGTACACACTTATCTCTAATAAATGTAACTGTATAGCATCTAAAACTAGGGCAAAACGCGAATCTATTAATTAGTGCCTATACGGAAATCGAGATAGCATATCTAGCAGATGACATTAATTATTTATAGTAAACAGAAAAATAAATTCAAAGAAACATATAAAAAATTTAAAACCGTTATGTTTTACAATATAGACAATTTCTGTCAAATGATAATCACATTCATATACATTGAGAGTGGAAAAGCACTTTCATAACATTATTAAATTACATGCTAGCTACACAAATGCAACAGTTTAACTATTCTAATTGCTGTTTTTGTAGTAAATATAACACATGCTGGTTTGGTAGTTTTGACATATATATTTATACACCCGCCTTAATAATTAGACAAAAATTATGCATGCATATAACACACAAGGCGCGAGAGCGGGTTACGACAAACCTCTGTGGTATACGTATTAGTAGAGGCGAGCTCAGGAGTGGTTTCTTCCGCGCGAGCGGTGGTGTATTCTTCAGTAGTCGTGGGGTCAGGCGTGGTCGGGGGGGAAGTTGGGGCAGTGGAAGCAGGCAGGGTGGTTGTGGACGTCGTGGGTGGGGACGTTGGGGTGGTGGTTGATAGAGTCGTCGTCTCGGCGGGCTCGGTCTGAAACGTGTCGGTGGTGGTGTGTGGCGCGCTCGGGGCGGGGTCCTCGCCGTGGTGGTGGCGGTGGTGGTGCGGGGTCGGTGACGGGGAGGGGGAGGGGACCACCTGCAGCGCGCGCCGCGACATACACTATGTTAGTACTGCCACCCATTTGTGCATACCCTAGCGAGCCCTGTCTGTGGTTATGGCTTTGAAAGGACGTGTATGTGTATAGGTATGCAATTTGAAATTGTAACTTAGTTCAAATCAATAGCAATCTAAATATTACATAAAAATCTTACAAATTTATTTAATCGGTAGATATTATTTCTAAAATAAAAAAAAAAAATCAAGAGTTACAATAACAACTTACACATTGGAAATTTTAAAAAGAAGGTAATTAAATTTTTTACCAAAATCTTAAGGGTAAAAAAAGCTTTTGGTTGAATGATAGAAATAGCTTTTAATACCAGGTAACAAAAATATATTTTTTTGCATGACATTATTATTCAAAGGATAATAGATAATAGGTAATACATAGAGTATGTTAATTAACAAAATCAATTCCTTATAACTAGTGATAGTGTTCATTATTAAGGCTTAAAAAACATTTTTTTTGCAGGAAAAAAATTTTACGTCTTTAATAATGAATACAATCACTAGTTTTAAATACGTGATTTCGTTAATTAATATACTGTATAACAAATACCATTTGAAAATTGCAAAGGCATTTAAATAAATATAGGAATACGGGAGACATGATATCGAATCTTAATATACATATATATACATAGTATTAGACGCCCTCTCAAAACTCAAAAGCCTTAAATATAAGGACAATTTTTTATTGGTAAAACATTAATTAATTATTTAGATAACTAATAAATCATTCAAAAAGCCATATATGATTATAGCGTAGCTGGATGACAGCAAACCAGCCAAGTTTTGATATTTTAACATTTATATTTACAATAAGAAGCGCCTTAAAAAGCAGTGTTAAATAACCACACACAAAGCTCACTTGTTGTATATATTATTGGAATAATAATTTTATGTTTAATGATCATGTATGAATGAAGAATGTAAACAAATGTTCGATGATTTTTATGTAAAAATAAGTTTATGTACCTGCTGCTGAACAAAATCCAAAAAAATATATGTAAGTACAAATACTTGATTTATGACCGCATTTAAATAAGACAACAATATAATGAACATAATAAACGAATACAATCACATCTTTTTAATATGAATGATATATTATATATAATAAAACGTGTTGAAACTTGTAGTAGTAAAAAATTGCGATTTCACTGTACATTCATTTCAATAAAGAAATAAATAAATGAACATTGGTGAAATCAAAGAAATAATAGTATTTATAGTTGATAAAATATAATGTTCATTATTATTAAATATCATCTGAATATAATAAGATTATAAGTCATTCACATTCCATGCTATATGGGTCTCGACGATGCTTCTATGGTATGATGTGACATAGACAGGAAAGTGCAAGGTATGCATTCCATAATGGGAACACTAGATATGTTAAATTTATTGGAAACACCAACTTGTTACGCTGATTTTAATAACAATATAATGATATGACTTCAGAATATTTTTATATAAAGTAATGATGTTAAAAAGAATTTTATTTCCAAAAGAATATGGTTTTGCTGTAATGGAAACAGTATTTGATTCATCTGAGAATTTCAATCAAAAAGTTTAGTAAATTTTTAATTACACCAAGCGTGAACCAATACGCGCCTGGTATCATCAGATGAGAATATTTTTAAAATAAAACAAAAATATTATAAAAAATATTGAGTATAGTATAATAATATAACATATTTTATCAATGTATGCACATACTGTTAAGAGTTATATTTGACATTGAACATTATTATATAATATATGGTAAACTTTTTAGATTCCCATATGGTTGAGGTTTCCAATAAATTAATAGACAGGTGATGGTACATAGGTTACATGTTATGGATGACAGTATCATAGCAAAGTGACATGAACATTTGTAAAATATTAATTACACTGTGCCTGAAAGTCTGAATCTTTCACGCATAGTTAAATTATATAAAATCATGAATAAATTATATTATTCATGATTTATTAAATAAAAGTTAACTGAATTTACAATTTTGTTTTATTAAACGCGTAATAAAACGTAGAGTTAATAGTAAATTAAATTTTGCACACCCTGTATATACAAATGCTGATTTATGATAAAGCCCGAAAATTATTATAAATATTTTGTAATTATTTCTTCATATTCAATAGAATCGATCACTAACAACTAAATTTAGTCATGTATAAGTCTATATAAATACCGAACAAAGTGACCAGAATGTGTCAAGAACAAAGATTAGTGATCGATGTTAACATTTCTTTCACAGGGGACCTCTATGTATTGACTCTATGGAATTTTTTTACAGTATTTGTCACATTATTTATTAGTAACAGTTACTACATACAAAAGCTTGTTGTCTGTAAGTAGTTTATTTGTGAACATTTATACTATTTACTGAGTTTATTGTACTCCTACACCTCATTCGTATATTTAATACAGACCTTATTGTGCCATTTTATCCCATATGTGAGATCAATTCACATTTTACTGTGCCTTATTACCCAATTTGTATATTTAATACACACGTCATTGCGTCCCAAGATCCAATTTTTGTGCGTAATAGAATGACTGTTAAGCGCACTTACGAGTCCGTCATCGATGCGGCTATATTCATAGTTTTCGTTGTAGTCGTACCCGCTGTAGTCGGCGTCCCTGTCTAGGTCCTCGTCGACGTCCGCGCCATCGTCGTCGTTGTCGTTATATTCGTACCCGCCAGATCCTTCTGGTAGTCTCAGCTGGAATCAAATAGTTTTATTAATTCGGCCATAGTATGAGAAATAATTTAAATTTCCAGAATGCTAAAAAAAAAAGATAGAATATGCTAAGAAAATAACCACACCATGGTTTGTCTGTCATTAGTAGTCAAAGATCGCTAGATTGTTCATTTCATGGTAATTACAGAATTGTCTAATCAGATTGATGGACAAGTTTAGGGAAACAAAAATGAATCGTTCGTTATAAACCGTGACGTATAGTTACGTCATGTACAATGTGATAAGATTAGGACAACTTTTCGTTATGTTTTGATAATTTAGGTGCCAAAATGAATTCGAAAACTTGGCAGTGTAAATTTGTATTGCAGCGGGATGTGAGGTATTAAATTATGACTGTAATAAGATGTAGATTAAAAAGTTAAAAGTTTCTTATCTATATCTTATTAAAGTACTTATTAATTGACAGTTGACAGATAAAGATTGTTGATATTACCTGTCGTTTGCGGCGAGGCGCGGCGGCGACGGATGCTAATCGCCAGCCCAGTACAGGCATTTGCAATACGTGAGCCAGCGAGCCGTCCCGCGCTTGTTCCCGCAGCCCAGATACCAGAACCTGGTGGCGAGGCCACATCTTGTTTTTGCACCCCACCTAATAGTTACAATTATACAGTTAATTAACATAAACATGTTAGAGAAATATCAGAGGGACACCTTGGTATAAAATGGGCTTGCATGAGTACCTCTTTCCTAGTCGGGTCTCTGCCGTAAACTGGCGTATGCCTCCATGGTTGTGTTTCGGTTTTGAAAGGATATAGACATTACCTTTTACGATATTCCGGGGATAAAAAATAATAAAGCTGGATACACTCAGTAATATCCATCTCGGTTTCTACCATAAAAACGGTTTAAGACCCGTATTGTTATTTCATGACAATTTTTTCACTGTATACACACAGGTTTTAGTGTAGGTCAGATTAGAAAACATAACAATGACACAGTGAAGGAGTCCCAAAAATCTCACATTTAAATAAATAGCCGTAATTGCACCGCTACGCCTGTGCTGTAGGTTGCCGGTGCCACTCTTGAGTACCGTCAACGTGTGTTCCGCCTCTGCTTTGTACGGCTCCATCCAAAATTCGTCCTGAAATGTTATTTGTGAAGTGTAAATAATTTGTAGTTATTATCTACGTAACGACAAAACAAATTCTTACAAGTTTACTTTCTTACTCTTATATGAATTTACATTTTTTTTTATTATAAAAATATAAATATGGTTTGATTATGTCTTTTTATTATCTTTTGATTTTACATCATTATTTACATAAGGGAGCTTATAGTCGAGAAATGGGCAGCAGCGTTCCTCTTAAAAGGACATAGATATATTATCCCTGTCAAACAATATCTATATATTACAGTAAATAATACTATAATACAGTAACTAATAGTGAAACAGTAGACATAAAAAGTATAGTAAGTTATATAATATTGTAATTATAAGTAAAATTTAGATATATAAAATTTCAACTCTTGAATTTGATTGGTTTACAAAAAAAATGTTGACCAAAGAAATAAAAATACAGGTCCTACGTAATACCGACAAGATGTCAAACGGAAGTATAGTTGTTAAAGGAAGCAAAAGGCACTTTCCTTATATGGACTCTATTATCATATTCACATATCACGTTGTTGTACGGAAGTATTTACTTAACAAGGATATTGAAGGTAATATTATAAGGATTATTGTAGATCCATACCTATAGTTATATTTAATGCTTGATAAGAGTTGAATGACCCAATAAACATGAATGCATAATAAACGATCAATAAAGACTAAATGATCATAGGTACCTACTGAATTGTTATTTCCCAGAAGTTTCCTGGTTATGTTGCGTTTTAGATTCTTATGGCTTGTGCGGATATTTTAAATCAGTTTCTGTTTTCAATCGATTTCAAATAGAAAGTTCTTGATTTGACTGTATTTTATGTGTTTATATTATGTAATGTTTTCAACAACTACGTACCGATTTTGAGAAAGCATGTATTGTTTTTACTTTTATTTTACAATATAGGGATAAACTGAGTATGCGGCTTATCTGATGGTAACTGATTACCGTCACTTATAAGCATCAAAGAAACTGCAGGTGTGTTATTGGCCATTTAAGAAGAAATATGCTCTTTTCTTGGAGGTTAAAATAGGTTTTTCTTCTGATAAGATAAAACGGAGCTGGTAGGTGGCTGCAGTGGCCAAAACAAAGTTTGTCGGGCCGGCTTGTTATGGAATAAATACTGAAATATATTAGTTACTACATAGCGCCTTAACGGCTTCATGAAATTTGAATAACTATGAAATTTGGTATACACATACTACACGGGATGGAAAAGGACAAAGGTTACTTTTTATCTCAGTCAAAGAACATATTCCGGTTACGTAGACGAAGTCACGGGTAAAAGCTAGTAAAATCATTATAATCATCATCATATCAGACTTTAAGTGTCCACTGCTGAATACAAACCTTCTCTTTGACGGGTTTTGCCAGTAGTTGCTACACTTGGCAGGCGGACTGGCAACCACGGTTAGGCTTTAGAGATATTTTAAGAGAGACGCTGCTGCCCATCCCTAAAGCTAGTAAAATACAGATACGTATACAAAAATATAAGTCAATAAAGTATATATATGTAAAGTAGATAAAGTATATATACGTACACCATCGAGAGCCATAAACTTGGCAAGTTCCATGAGCGCGCGTATCCGCTGCCGCGGCGCGATGTGGTGGAATGCACCATCTATCAGAATCACCAGGACGAGTCGGTTCTCGGCACCGGCGCATGAGCCGTATTTAGATTGTGGCTTGTCTTCCGCTTTCTTCACCTGGAATGTGCGTACACGTTATTCATTAATAATTCAATTTTTATTTTAATAGAGTTATTTAACTTTAGCTCTTTTAAATCGTCACTGTTGCTGAGAATATTCTAATTTTAATATTGTATGGGTACAATGACTAATAAATATTAATGGTTTGCGTAGCTTTATTAAATATGTACTTTTTTAATTAAGTAAAATTTTGATAAGAAGGAAACAAGAGACCAACCCCCATAAGTTGCATCCATTCACAAGTATGTCGGATGTGTCAGTCACATTTCAGAGAGGTGTATACTCAGTCTACCACATCGCTACTAGTTTGATCTGTATTCAATCTATTTATCGCTCTACCAAGTACCCCACAGGATAGATAGGAAGAACTCTGCAGGTAACTATAAGGCTTGCTTTAGATATACACTTTCTCATCTACTTCTCATGTACAAATACGTTAGTTTTGGTAGACTTTAATAGATGTATCAGATAACACACGGTTTGTGTGACAACGTGGCAGGCGCCCATCCGTGATGTTAGCAATACCAAATGCAATACCTACTTTGTGATTTGACTCTACTGACTCAAATACTGGGTACGCCAGTAATTTCACTACCGTTTCTCACCTTTCAAAGTGGAAAATTGCATGCAAGCACAGCTATTTGATGGCAAAATTAATAGGGGAGACAGAGGTAGCCAATTTATGCTGAAAACTGTACAGAGCCAATGTGATAAGTTGTTTACGAATACTGGAAATTCTAGTTTGTAGATATTGCTTACATTATGTCTTAATTACCTGAACATTGTCAAGCGAATTAATTGGTTGTGTAGTCTATAATTTATGAAGAAAATATAGAGTAGCTGTGCTCATGAAGCGTGCACACATCTTTTTATGAATCATCAATTTAAACTGATACTTATATGAAAATTTATAATATAACATCAATGATGGACGTAATGAATCGATAAGTTTCGTGAGAATATTCTGATGCATCAAATTTACAGTTTGTTGAACAATAAAAGAAACCATTGTTGTAGTAGTTGGAGTAGTTACTAATTGGTAAAAGCGCCATATATTTAGGTACCACTTTGTTTTTTAAATATTAGCGTAGTATTAGTGCATAAATTGCTCGAAATATGTACTATTAGTCAATAAAGATTGATTGTTATAATATTTAATCCCATTATCGTATTTTTAAATAATTAATTGTTAATAGACTTGTTAAAATAGGTTAATTGTGATTAGTATTTTTTGTACGTGGCGATATTATTGCTATTTCTCGCGTTTTTTACTCCTTTTGCCGTTATACCTGTTGTTTATTGCGTATATAAGTTGTCAACGTATTGAAAATAAATTATAAAGAACGTTAATTGCTAACAAAATTTGTCCCGGGTTTCGGTACTTAATTTTGTTAGGAATAAATACAATTAATCTTCTTTATAATTTATTTTAAATGAGACGAGCACGACCTGTTTCAAGATACGCCATTACGTCAAAAGAATTTATACCAAATTATACGTGACAATTACTATGAATACATCATAATAATTACTCATTAGAAATTAAAAATGTTACTTATATTATTAATTTAATAACTTTATGTAAAGTAAGAGATTATTAAATATTTATTTACAGTTAGACACTTAATTATATAATTTATTTAAAAATTGTTAAAGAGATCTTATTGGAATACGGCACGATGTAGAATGTGCAAGTTAAAACGTCGACCGATTAATTTTTTTTTTAAATCATACAATTATTATTGGATATTATTTATAAAAGATTATTCGTAATTCCATTGTTGAAAGTTTTGTAAGTACATATTATATTTTAATGTATTATTTGCCATTACTAAAAAGAACAAAGCCACAAACTTGACCGTAGACCTATGCGGCAGTATTATTGTTTCCAGCTGTCTACTTTAATGTTCACGAGTTAAATTGATTTGCAAATGTAACGAGATTGAATCACTGTACTGTCTGTTCATCGAGCCTAGTGATGAAGACAATTTGTAATTCCATTTCATCGAGTTGCGACTGAACACAATTTGCTCATTTAAGCACGTTGATTTATTATTGAAAGAGGCAAATTCATTCACGGTTTACATTTATTTTATCTAGTACTAATTTTTATATTTTACATTTTCTATTACTATTAATACACTTTAAGAATTATTAAAATCTGTTACTATAACCTGTTTAATTTTACTTGGCACACGCTGTAAAAAATATTTTTATCGATTCTATCCCACTATTCTACAAATAGTATAATATGAATTGGAAAGTCTGTAAAGATGTTTTAATTCAATTTGTTACACAGACGAGCCATATTCTGATTGAACTAATAGGCTTCAATAATAATATAAATATAATTCTCTGATCATGTGGAGAGCCTATTAAAAACGAAAAAAAAAATATTATTAATTTATATTAATACATAAATAATAATGGAAATCAATACAAAATTATATTTAATCATAATGCGATTTGAAATTATTTTTACACTTTTATTTAGATAAAAAAAAATAGTGTCTTGGCATATGTGTCTAATGAAATAATGAAATGATATAATAAAAGCATTTTTACTGATTGTACTACTATTATCATTTTCTTACTTTTCTTACTAATATCGGACTATACCAATCGTCATAAAATTTAGTATAATATAAAGTATAAGATGGAGAAATATTTAGAACATGTTTTCTCTCGATTAATGATCATAATACTGGTTCTGTAGAACGTTACCATAGGTTTATCTCTAAATTAATGTGATCATCTTATCGACGCAACGGTCACGCGGATAAAGTCACGGGTAAAAACTAGTTATACTTAATAGCTACCTCAATGGTGAAGGAGTCGGTAGCTGTAAGTCCACGCGTTCGTCCGTGTGCTGTGATGCTGAAGGTGTGGGCACCAAGGTCTGCCTGTTGAGGCAAGCCGCTGATCAGGCCGTGTTTTGAGTCCACGGCAAGCCAGTTAGGCGTGTGACGACCGTCATCCCTGCGAACCTGCAAGTGCATAATTCAGTCATCATTATCATCATTACAACACAACTACGCGCACTGCTAAATATAGGTCTCTCTAAAATACAATAAGAAAAACGACTAAACTTTTTACATTAAGTGTGTAGGTCCAGACATAGAATAGGTCACCCCTTTCTTTTCCATAGATATTGGTGCTTATGATAGAGGGATTAGCCATAGCGTTCCTCTTAAAACATCAATGAAAGCCGAAGTGCGGTTGACAACCTGTCTGCCAAGCGTGGCAACTACAGGCAAAACCTCCCTTATGGGGGAGGCTATGTTCAGCAGTGGGCAGATAACGGCAGATACAAAATTTTTTTTTATATTAGGCTAATACCATTCAATCAAAATCAAATTCTGAAGGACTACTATTACCGATATACTATACATACCATTAATACCTTATATGTTATGTTTTTTATGCTAACCCTACAAATACTTTTTCCTTTTGGGTTCTCCAGATTGACTGGAAGAAATCCCTTTAAGGGATAAGTCCGCCTGTGTACATTTTGGTATAACCTAATATCTATATTATAAATGAATGTACAAAAGCATATAAATAAAATAAATTCTCAATAGAAATGGAATTCCATGAAAAAAAAAAAAATAAGATGATAACAAATCAAAAGGTTTAGTATTGCCCCGATTTCATACATTAAATGTAATAGAATTTTTAATTCTACTTCATAAAAAAAAAAAAAAACTCCTACTTAATACAACAAGAATTAATATGGATTCAATACATGAGTATCAATTTTAATAATTTTGATTAATTATAATTAAAATTATTTTAAAATTAGCGAAGATGGTGCACGACAAACACATACACATGCATTAGAGGCAAATTGAGAACTTAATTTTTTCTAAAATCCCTTAAAATAAGTATGAAAGAATATAAAAAAAAAATAGAAAATATAACAAATTGGTATTTAGACAAAAAAGAGTGACATGGATATACTGTGGCACAGACTGAATAAGGGTTCTTTATATCTTTTCGTGGCGGAATCATTTAAACCTGTTTGATAAATTACACGCGAAAGTACCTTGTATGCTTGTACTTCTCCGGAGAAAGCTTCTTTGGGAATTTCCATACGGAACAAGTGTCCTACATAGGCCGATGTATCAGGAACGCCCCATAATCTCCTTAGGCCATTTCGTGTTATTTCGGAATGATTGGCTGTAAGTTCAACCTGGAAATAAAGACAATATAAATTAATGCCATATCTATTTCGAAGTCTAGACACTGAGCTGTTGAGTTAGACGATTATTAAATTTTCAACAAGAGAATAATGTTGAAGAATAAAGAATAATGTTGGTGATTGTGCTCCTTCTTCTAATAAAATTCAATATACCGAATGAGCATAAACTGTTGTTGCTACGGTCTTGGTAGGTATTCATAAAACAATGTCATTTAAATACACTTTAACAATACAACAGAGCAATCGTTTCATTTAATATATTCGAACATTCTAATTATACTGACATAAAGATATGAAGGTATAAAACTGTGTTAATGTTGTAATTGGTAACTTTTTTAAAATGTCTTTATATTTATCTTTAATCAATATTATACTTTCAGATTCTAGTATAATATAAAAAAAAAAATAATGTGCCAGCTATTACTATGATGACTGTTCTAGGTACAGCTTTTAGACTCATACTCTATATAAATGTAAATGATCTATGCCGATTGCCTACAGGGAAATATAATACGGGTTCACCGACCTGAAACTCGTCACTATTGTCAAAAGCGAAGTCGTCGTCATGGCGACTTAGCGCTAGAGGACACAGCAGGAGTACTGCGCACGCAATGTACCGCGCGCGCCCCATCTTGCCCGCTCCCACCGGTGGTCGTCACTAAATCGCGATCTCATAAATTCATGTTGCTCATCTGTTGACAATAACAACGTTAAATTGAAATGTTTTGTACACACCTTTGTTTTAGTAAGCAATTGATAAATTCATTACTCAATCTGTAGTTGCTATTAACTTTTGTATTTTATAATTTAGTTTATCAGATAGAGTGAAAAATTTTTTTTTACCAAATTTATAGCAAAGCTAAAATTGCTTCCAGTAAATATAATTGCAAGTTATTTACAAATATAAACGGTATTAAGTAATTTAAAGGGGGCAAGTTATCAATAATAAATCAGTAACTAAATTAAGAAAATAAGTCGTATAAATACTCCTATAACTAACTAACTATAGACTCACACCTCAAACGATGTTTAATCTTATAAAGTTTGTAGTGTTGATCACTTTGAGCACTAAATGTTATACGGTAAAGAACAAAAGCACTATCAGCGTGGTAAAATTTTGATCTAATACTATCTAATCCCTGAATCTCAGACACGGAGAAAAAAGAACTGTAACTTCTATTCATCAAACCACAATTTAAACTAGTGAGTGTAACCAAGCCAATGTAACTTGTGTATGATTCAGACTTATTATTGGTAGAATTAGTATAAATATAATTTTTCTTATAAGTATACAAAATTTTAGTTTAATCAAATGTCATAAAACTTAAAAAAAAAAACAAATTTTAAAACCAAAAAGATAAACGGATGGAAAAAAGTATAATAACGAACAAAGCAAACTAAACAAAAGCTTGTAAAAGTACCTACGACATGTACGCACCCTTTATCACTTAACGATAAGTACAGTACACTTATTATAATTGTTGGCGACAGACCTCTTTTTATATAATTTACCTTTTTAGCATTATATTTTTATATTATGAATATGTCTTTTGATACTTATTTTGTTTTTCTATTTGAGTGACATATTATTGTTATGTTGTTAGATTGTGATTGTCATAAGAAAATATACTGGTAAGCCTCTCTTAATATTATTTTATTATTGTCGCTGCCCTCTTCTCCTACCAGCGCCCTTTTCAGAGGTGCTAATAAATCCACGTCCAGTCCCAGCAGATTTTGAGAAGCCGCCAGTTCTCACAGTGTTTCATTTGCTGTTGGATACTCCGTCGACTGAAGCTGTTCGCCCCATACCGACACAGATTTGTACCGTCACCACAACAACAAGATGGAAGTCCGATTGACATGGTGATATTGCTTTTGTCGCCTCCTTAGATTGGTGCTCTGCACCGGGGCGTGCCATGTTGGCGACAGACCTCTTTTTATATAATTTACCTTTTTAGCATTATATTTTTATATTATGAATATGTCTTTTGATACTTATTTTGTTTTTCTATTTGAGTGACATATTATTGTTATGTTGTTAGATTGTGATTGTCATAAGAAAATATACTGGTAAGCCTCTCTTAATATTATTTTATTATTGTCGCTGCCCTCTTCTCCTACCAGCGCCGTTTTCAATAATTATAGATTTTTTGAAAATCGTGATTTGTATTTGAAATGATTATCCATAACAATAACATAATTATCGATGTATGATGAAAAAAGAATAATGAGACGTAAAGAGAAAAATCCATTAATTAAGCCATCCTTTCAACGGCTAACGGAGTATGTGTATACAGACAAATTTGGTCGAATATTGGCTACAAATGACTCTGTAGACGAAGGGAGGGCAACGGAAACGAGCTGATACAGTTAAAGGCGCGTGTTGGCGCATAATGATCGGACGTAAATAGAATAGTGTCTGAACGTTCCTCGTCTTCCTTAGCATGCTGTCGCGAAACCACTCTAGGGAATATTCTTATGTTGCTTTTAGAATAACAGCATATTTAATAGCCACTTGAGAGCAATGTAGACTCTATTAAATTCTAAACATAGATATTTATTTTAGAAAACTAAGATGTGTTTCTAGTAACACCAATTGTAAAATATAATTATCGTATCTATTTTCTTTATGATTTACAATATTATAAATAGGTTTATCTCTATAGATAATATTTTGTTTATATGTACGAGACTGTTTATATATAATTGGAAAACGATAATTTAATGCACTATGTCTCTATGTTTACGACTTCGGCTGCGAGTGTACTGTACAAGACAAGACGATGCAAGGTAAGCTATGTGCTTATCTTGAGGAAGACTCTCCGATTATGTTGAAACAATTGTTGGCAATGACAAACAGCACATAATGCTAAGTGTGAGAGTTCGTCTTAGAAGAAAGTAACCTTTGGAATTATTCGGTGCAGAGTTTTTATAAGAGACAGGATTTAACACGATTATTTAGAACAATAAAATATAATTTAGCTCATATAAATTATACTGTTCATAATTTTGTAATATTCCATATTTGGGTATGTATTCTATAAATAATTATTATTTATTTTTAGGTTATTTAGAAATATTTATAATGAAAATTAATATATGTAATACGTAAAGACTTCGGAAATTTATGATCGATTATATTTATTAATAACAGTGTTTGATTTATTATATATTTTTCTTTTTATATCATGAAAACAAAATTGTATTCTATATTTGGTTACTTTACGAGTCAAAACAGAACTGACTTTTTTTTACGGAAGCTTCTTTAATCTCATTGAATACTCATTCTTTCAGGAAAATTAAATGGGTTACGTCACTACTCTCAGCACTGTGGGCGATTGCGAAAAAGTAAGATTCTGTCTATACAAAATACACAATGGTGTATAAAGCTAATTGTAACTATAATAGTATTATGGGTGATAATTACTTTTTTTTTGTAACCAGAAATATAAAAATCAATTGTTAAATATGTGCAGTAAATCCCATTACAGTAAACTTGTATCTACATTTAAATAAGTATCTACATTATATTAAAAGTCAATCTATACTACTTGTAATATAATATCTACATTGCGATAATAGTTCATTATTTCGAAAGGTCCATTCGTAACCTATATTAAGAAGGGACTGATACAAGTACCTTTTTAAGGTGGTAAACAAAATCGTTAAAGAATAATTTTACAGAATTACTTAAATTCAATAAATTTCAGTCATAGCTCAGCCACTTCAATTATTTTCAAGACGAAGGACGACGTGAAAACATTTCGAAATGAAACGTGCTTAATATGAAATGGTAGAGTACGAGCAGACAATTTAGATATTATTTTGTATGTACAGTAATTTATTTAGGTATTTTAGGTAGGTACTTTTTTTACCTTATTAGAGATTTTCGTTATACCGCTGTTTGCCCGAAACAGCATTATATTTTAGCCAATCTTCTTAGTGATTTAATTTGTGGCATTAGACCACTTCCATGAGTGTTGTTAAAACAGGATAAAGAGTTTACTCGAAAATATGTAAAATATTATTACATAATAATAACTTATTATTAGATAAAAAAGATACTGTTTGTTACATTTTAATGGTGTTATTAGAAAGAATTGGATGAAACAATTCCTGGGGATGGCCTGATGCCCAATTAAAGGCACAGTTATGTAACGACATAAAAAAAGGTAGATAAAGGTCATAAAAATATTTTAACTTTTAAATCGAAGCTTTTACGAGGATTCTGTGTAATAAATCACCATTATGTTATGTATAATTTTACGTAGTAAACAGAAAGTCAGTTTGTCTTTATTTACCTTAATGTATGCGACTATAACAAATTAAAAGGTTGTTTCTTAAAACGTGAAAAATTATAAAACATTTAATTTCTTAATTCTTTCTAGCTATTCTTGTATTCTTACCTAAATAACGTTCAACTATATGTCTCCACCCGACGACAGTAGATGTTTTTTTAAGATATTGCGAAACGCGGAAAGGAAATATATGCAGTCATAACTGGAAAATGCAAGTACAACAGGATGCAATAATAATAATTTCCATTAAGGTCATGAAAATTCTCCGTGGTAACTACAGCAAAACCCATTTTTTATGAGGCCTATGTTCAGCAGTGGACAGTTAACAGATGATATGATGATGATAAAATTAGAATACTTATGGAATCATTTTTAAAATCTTATTTAGATTGACTTTGTATGTACATAGTTTCACATTTGTTACTCAAATTACTGTGGGCGCTCTACAGTTTGCTCAATAAATTGATTTTAATGAATTCCATGGGAAGACGCTATAATGGGATGGAATATTTTAGCGTAGAATATTTTGGCGTTTCCTCCGTTAAGTTTTATGTTTTGTTCGACAAACGGTATAGTGCCTAAGTACACCATAAGGAGTGATTGGGTGAATGATATAAAATTTTAGCACTAACAATATATAATAACGACCTCTGTAATGTAGACCCGGAATAATATTTTGCATTCTCGCATCGCGAGCCGGTGTCTTAGTAAATAACAGTATCTACAGACAATAGTAGAAATCGACAGCGGTATGTACAACTAAGAATCTACTCACACTATAGAATATATGAATTAGGGTAAAAAATTTATGAATCAAAAGTTAAAAAATGACATGTTTCGAGTCTCTTATGTATTCTCATCTGTATTTCCAGGTTAAGTTAGAGGTTATTCTAAAAAGTTGTACTTGAGTTGTCTACGTTTCGTTGAGCATAATTGGCATGTAATGTAGTAGACGATGAGTCTACCGCTGTGTAGTAGGTACCTAATTATTTTTATTTATTTTTAAGTTATAAATACTTATTATATTGTGTATTACTTATTATATTGTGTATACATTAATAGTAATCTATATAATGGATTTGTAAAAATTTTTTTCATCTAATGTATGTACCTATATTCATACAATAATTGATTTGAATTTGAATGTTTACAACCAGCACGTAATGAGTGTAAACTTCTAATTTCTTTCCGATGCCAGAGACTTGTCGCAACTAACAGACAACCAACAGAAACTTACATACTGACATTAATGTATTCTATTACTTTTGATAGATAGTTTAATATTCTTTTTTTCTTTGTTATTATAATTGGATCGTAAAGTATACTATTATTTTACTTTACGATTCAATTATTTTACTTCAATTATCTTTTAGGTTGATCGTATTTATGAACCA